TTAGTACTTGGCTGGATAGTAGCAGTATCTGGCTGTGTACCTGTTAAAGATGTGAAATCCTGAGGCAACTGTTGTCCATCATCCACAATAAGGCTAGGCGTAGTCTCACCAACTACATTTACATTACTAACAACTTCTTCACTTGCAGCTTGCATGAAATGGGATAAAAATTTTTGCAGCTGAAAAGATTGGTGTCAAAAAAAATAAAAATTGATAATTAAGTTTAGAGACCACAAAGTATAGTCTTCAAGAATCAAAGCAAACAGTGAACAAATATTCCGAATGATAGATCATTAAACAGTGTCGTTAATTAGACGGGCAATCACGGAGCTAGACATTTTCAAGTGATGATTAACTTTAAAGACGGATCAATTAATATTTTAAACTATGTACAACAGATATTTGAAATATAAATTATTTACAAACCATAGATTGGCTTTTTTATTGTATTTTGAGTCTAATCAATCACATCTGATAATGCTATCATTTTTTGGAAATGCCACTAGAAAATCGAAAAAATTGATTGATTTGTTCAAAAGACATACCAGCACTCATAAACACCAATCTGTCATAAGTACTACAAACTATACATGCATTTCAATCTCATTCTCACATTATCTTACAAGCCTGCACTTTTCGTCTCAGAAAGATTTTTACTTTGCTCTGCAAAAGTTTTCTCCATAAAATGAATCAAACACTGGAAGACTATGTCAGGGAAATAATCGACAAACACAGCCTGGATTGCTACGTTATCTTTAATTCTGACATTCACCTGAATGAGTACATACGAAAGAAGGACATGAGAGTACTTCAAATTTCCAACTTTTCTGGCTCAAATGGCACTGTTGTTATAAGCAAGGAGCCTTGCCTAATTACAGATTCAAGGTATTACATCCAAGCCCAGAATCAATCTAGATTTCCCTTATTTAAAGACAAATTGTCAGAATATATTATTTTAAAACAGTATAAAAAAGTCAGTTTCGACACCAAAACAATCTCATCAACTCGATTTAAGAAACTAATGGAAACGTTCTCTGAAAATTCCATTGAGTTCGTTGAAACTGAATTCAAATTTGATATCAAGTTTGAGGATGACCAGTACAACAGCCTGTCTAATGAAATTGTCTACTTAGAGCAATACACCTTAAAGAGCTATTTGCACTTCTCAGATGCGTCAGAAGGACTTGAGTACGATCCAGCCATCAAGGAATATCTTTCCTCACTTGGGTTTAATAACATCGATGGAAATGTAACAGGCTCGCATTATCAGGATAAGATCAAAAGAATTAGAAATATTGTTGACGGAAAAGTTCTCATTATTACTGAGCTTGATACAATAGGATGGGTTTTGAATTTAAGGGGATTTGATATTGAATTTAACCCAGTCTTCTTTTCATTTTTAGTCCTAACAAAAGACGAAGTGCTATTGTTTACAGATAAGGACATTGCATTGGATATGGTGAAGGTCTTACCATACAACGAGTTTGAAAGATACTTAGAAACAATTGTCGAATGCCCTGTCGTCATTTCAGGTGACTGCAATCAGTTTATTTACTCTAAATTTAAGGATGTAAAACTCATAGACACAATTCGAGTATTGCAAGCGACTAAAAATGAGGTAGAACTGTGTGGAATGGCATTGGCGTATTTTTTTGACGGCTTGGCACTCACTGAGCTATTTGGATTTATAAACAATAACCACAATTTAACTGAAAAATCAATAAGTGATGAGCTTCACAATATTAAAACGAAGTTCAAAGGATATGTCCAACCATCATTTGATACCATTTCTTCAACGGGTGCCAATGCAGCAATAGTTCATCATCGTGCATCTTTGGATAGGATTGATAAAAATAAAGTGTATTTGATCGACTGTGGCTCTCAGTATTACTTTGGGACAACTGACACTACCAGAACGTTATTCTTTGGATCTGATATTGATGAGCAGCTCAGACACGACTATACACTGGTTTTAAAGGGACAGTTGAATGCTATGATGAAAGAATACGATTTTGAGTCTAACCATTCAGAAATTGATGAGATCAGCAGATCGTTTTTGAAAGGTGAGGAGAAGGACTTTGGACATGCAACGGGGCATGGTGTTGGACATTTTCTTTGTGTCCATGAACATCCGCCAAGCATTTATGATAAAACTGAAGATAAATTACAACCCAATATGGTATTTTCAATTGAGCCGGGCTATTATAAAGAAGAGGAGTATGGAATTAGAGTTGAAAACTTGGTAGTTTCAAGGAAAACAGCCGATAAGATTAAACTAACTAACATTACCATTGTTCCATATCAGAATAAAATGGTTGATGCAAACATGCTTACGAAGGAAGAGAAGGAGTACTATAATTTATGCAATGAGAAATGCATAAAGACATTACAGAATTACATTAGCTATGAGGCCTTTGAATTCTTAAAGAACAATTCATGCAAACTTGAATAAACATATTGACAGTTTACACCCTATAATTAAGATAATAGTACTTTAAACTATATTGAATGCACACTCACCTGCGTATTAAACACTACTACAGTATTCGCTTGGGCTTTAAATACCTTTTAATTAAATAACCATTAACACACCAACCGTTAATACGATCTACATAAACACCCTATGCACAGCAAATTAAATCATTAACTTAAAATTTAATTACCTTCTGGCCTCATTGTTGGGAAAAATAACACATCTCTAATATTAGCTGCATTGGTCATGTACATCACCACCCTGTCAATGCCCAAACCCCATCCACCAGTTGGAGGGAGTCCATACTCGAGTGCCTGGCAAAAGTCTTCGTCAATAGGCATAGCCTCGGCATCACCGGCCTCTTTCGCTGCCATTTGCTCCATAAATCGTTCTCTCTGGACTGATGGAATATTCAGCTCTGTATATGAATTGCATATCTCCTTGCCATTAAGGAATAACTCAAACCTCTCCGTTACACCTTTTCTATTTCTATCCTCCTTCGCAAGCGGAGACATAGCCGTTGGGAACCCAGTAATAAAGGTTGGATTGATGCATTTAGGCTCAAGATACTCACCAATAAACTTGTCTAGGATTCTGTTCAGGGTCCTTGGCTCGTCAATAACCAAATTCCTCTCCTCGGCAGCCTTGATAAGTTCATCAACCGAGTTTTCAATGTTTTCGCCTGTAAGGTTCAGCCCAAGTACCTTATTGATTTCCTCAAGAATATCAAATCTTTGGAAGGGTGTAGAAAAGTCAAAGTCCACTTTTATTTCCTCAGACTCCCTCTTTTTAGGCTCGTACGCAAACTTCAAGGATCCTTTTAACTCCATGGCAAGACCACTAAGAAGATCTTCAGTTAATTTCATCCATTCGTTGTAATCAGAATATGCATAGTATGCCTCGCAGGCTGTGTATTCGGGATTGTGAGTCAAATCAATGCCCTCATTTCTGAAATTCTTTCCAATTTCATAAACCCGGTTGATTCCACCAACAACTAGCTTTTTCAGATACAGCTCAGGAGCCACTCTCAAATAAAGAGTTTGTTTCAATTCGTTATGAAAAGTTTTGAAAGGCTTGGCGGCAGCGCCTCCGTAAATAACATGCATCGTTGGAGTTTCAACTTCAAGGAAGTCTCTGGTATTAAAAAAGTTCCTAATATAGTTGATGATTCGGGTTCTGCATATGAACCTTTCTTTTGAGTCTTTATTTACCAAAAGATCAAGATGCCTCTTACGGTAAATGGTCTCGGGATCCTTCAATCCATTCTTTGAAGAAGGTACTACCCTGAGACACGGAGTGAGCAATTTCAGATCCGTGACAAAGACAGATGGCTCACCTGTTCGTGATTTTCCACAAAATCCAGTAAACCCAACTATGTCTCCTCTTCGTAAGAACTGTGCAACATAGTAGATAGACTTGTCACCAGAGTTCAAAATTAATTGAATGGCAATGTCATCTGATTCAACCTTAAAGAAGAATAGTTTACCGTGGCCTTGGATTGAAATAACTCTACCAGCAGATGAAACCATCTCTTCTCCCTTTTCGCCTACTTGAAACTCAGAAGCACAGGCTTTAATGATAGAGAACTTGTGGCTTACTGGATAACTGTGGGGATACATCTCGATCTCACCCTGCGCATCCTTGATCATCTGCGTTCTTTGTAGAAAAAACTCTTCGTCCGTCAGTTCTTTTTCCTCTTTTGGCATTAAGGGCAAAAATCATACAACCAAATAAAAAGAAGCCACTTAAGTATAAAAATAGTTCGAGGGGACCCCTGGGATGCTTCTTAGACTGCTGAAGGATCCACTGCCCAATGTTTTATATTCAATTGGAGTTGTAGAAACACAAGTAGGCGTAAACCGGTTTAAAATAGGATTCAAAGACACCTTTGTTGAGATTTACACAAAGGAAACTTTAAAGTGTGGAGAATGGATTAGGTTTTATGGAAGCAGGCAAGACAATGCTATAGTTTGTGAATTTGTCCAGGTTTTATACAACTTTGATCCTGCATTACTTGTAAAATGCATAGAAATGCTTTCCGATTCCTAGCAAACCAATTTAGTAAAGACCATCAAAATGAGGCTTTCACAGCAAGCTTAATGAATACACTGCTAGAAGCTTGGTGTTGGTGTCTTTGCATAATTAAAGAGTATTTAACATCAGAAATATTTTAATACACACTGTTGAACATCACCGTCATAGATTATTTGATGATTCCCACAGCTCAGCATTTACACTTTCAAACTCTTGTAATATTTGTAAATAAACACCAAACACACCCGATTTTACTCTTCTTGACAGCTCAGCCCTAGTCTTTTTTACAACATTTTCAAAATACTCCTTTGCTTTGAAATGCTCTTCTGCCCTGTGAAACGAGGGCTTGGCATTTTTAAACTGAGCCAATAAAGTAAACTGGCTGAGAATTAAAACTTCTTCATTCTCCTTTAGCTTCTCTTTTAACTTATCAACGAACCAGTAGATTGCTTTCTCCTCTTCATTTCTTTCTACTCCAACGTAAACAACAAACCCTTCTCCTATTTCTGAAATCACCTCATCTTCTTTCAGGACTTTTGCCGACTTCACTCTTTGTGCTATGACTTTCATTATTCCAGGGTAGAGTATTTTAAAAATATGGTTCTACCGAGATTCGAACTCAGATTACCGGATTCAGAGACCGATGTGCTAGCCATTACACTATAGAACCGCTTTTCAAGCAGATTAGCATTTACATATGCACACCTGCCCATATTCTCTTTGCAGAGCAATATACTAAACAAAATGTCTATTTAATCTATATTATTGCGTTCTTAGATCGATATATCACCGGCCTCAATACTGCCATGCGCTTGATTATGTTTTTAATATCAAACACCAGGGGTATCCTGCCCTTGGAGTTTAGAAACTCTCGTGATGTGATATTGAGAGCCCAGAGCAGGGTGTGATATGCGCCAAAGATTACGATCAAAAGAGAAAATGCAGCAACAAGTGCCCTGAGGGATATGAAAAGCAAATCCACAGAGTAAATTTGGATATGCCTTTGACAGATGATGGAGAGAAATGTTAATATAGATTAACAGACCAATGAATGTATACACAAATCCAAGGAAAAAGACATGATTGTTTCTTCCAATGCAGTTATTAAGCCAAAGACAGTGGTGGTCCTTTTCCAAAACACAGTATCCACAATCTGCACAATGGCTGGTTTTGATTGGTCTAAAAATATTGCACGATAGACAGTATTTTTGGATGTACGTTGACCTATTCCCTGGTTCGTTGGTAAAGGATATGATTCTTGAAGTATTGAGAACATCGGGTACAATGCTAATATCATTCTTCAAAACGATGGGCTGCAAGTCAAATGTAGGAACACTTCGTGTGGGCAGAAAGCCAGGTTCTAGTGTGGATGACCGGTAAAGAGCACAGACATTTGCTAGAAGTAGATAAATGACAAACAAATTTAAAGTCCAATGATTCGTACAAAAAAACACACCAATACATGTCAATGAATATACCATTGATATAATCAGAAGAGCAAAGTACAGGAATTTTTTAGTGTTTTGAACTTCGACGTAGTCCGCGAATTCCATCACCCCTTTTTGAACTCAGCTGAAAAATTGGAGAAAAATTGAAAAAATTAATGGAGACTGAAAAGGAGAAAAAATTACAAGGCGATTTGACAACACAAACATGATAATAAAGGGTTTATTATCAGGTTGGGAAATTGGCTATTAAGTAGGGCCAGAAAATAGTTTTTCTTAAACTTAAGGCCTACATTAACCTACAGACAGGGATTCAATATCAAATGAAAATGAAAGCACATGACACTTGAATTCTATTTATTTAGCTTGATTTCTTACCTAAAATCATGTCTATTACGTTTTGCTTGTCTCTGTCTGTAAATCGATTATTTATCATCCTATTTGCAGATATAACAAGATCGCTCATTCGCCCTAGGACAGAAAGCTTTCCTTTGGCATGTAGCTCACTTTTCAGCGCATCTGAGCCGGTATACATTTTACTCAATGCGTTCCCGTTGTTGACCCACATGCTTCTTGCAACACTGAATTTGAATGTATCAAAAAAATTAAAAATCAAATACTGTGCAATATTAGTTCTATCCAAGCAGTCCATGCAATTAACACGAAACGTTACCTTAACATCGTTAAAATCACATTGTGGACTTGTGACAGAGAATGAGCTGGAATCAGGCTCTTGAATAGAATCTTCAGACCAGCCATTCTCGGACTCCAAGCGTTCAGATGAAAAATTGTCCGTATTGATGGGAATGCTCTCTTGATCTACGCTTGAAATAAAACTAGGCGTGTGAATATCAAAGTCTTCACACACAGATTCTTGTTTGTATCCAATGTCTTGATACTTAAGATCAGAACTACCACGCTCTCTGTTCCTAAGCTCAATCATAAAAGCATTTAACTGTTTATAAAATGTCGTTTTAATATTTTCTATATTCTCTGCATATTTATTTAGATCAAAATGAACATAATCCACGTTGTTTTCTAAACAAAGATCTTTGTACCGTTTACTTAGAATTTTTTCGTATTTTCTATGGCCCAAAAGATCAACAATAACGATTCTCCCATACCCTCTTTGAAGCTTTTCCAAGTGCTGTTTAAATGCTTTGCCATTCTTTTCTTTATTTTCATCAAAAATAATCTTGTGCGGCTTTAGAGGATCGTCTTGGGACCAGTAAAGTGGCACAGAACCTCTAAGAATAACGAATTCAACTCTTTCGCTATCACTCTTTGTTACAAACTTTGTTTCGACAAAAAAGGATACCTTTCCAAGCTCATCAACGCCTCTACTAAGCATTCTCGTTCCAATCTTCTTGATGGATATCCTCGAGAGAATTTTGAGGAAGTACAGCATGCCATTTTCTCTAATTGATCTGGATTCGAAATACCCGCAAATCATATTTCCGATCACCATTTTACCAAAATCAATACTCTTTGGTTCGGCTTGCGCAAATCTGTTTGAAAATGGACTTCTCATGGCTCTGTTCTGGCTTTTAATATTCTTGAATTTATATGGAATGTCGCCAACAGAAAGAGATTTGGCTGATGACGTATCTGCCTCAGACACTGCACAGTCACTGCTCACATGCTCCTTGAAGTTCTTGATCATGTCGCCATTCCATAGGAAATGTTCTTCAACACTTTCAAAAGTATAATAAAAGTTTAGATTTTCAATCAAATTCTTAACATTTTCAGCCATTTCATCTTGAACCGAGTCTGTTAGTGGTAGATAGCTAACTCTTAGAACAGTGAAAATCTCATCCTTGTGAAAGGTTCCCAAACTCTCACTTTCTGAGCAGAAAAACAAGTATTTCGACTCCGAACATGTTTTTATAATACCTAAAACACACAAAAAGGGATATGAAACGACATTTTCAGATGGAGTAAGACAGGCTTTATTGTCAGGAATGTTTACAAATCCATCGGGGCCTTCGTAGGATACTTGCTTTGTATCTGTGTCAAACAGGAGTGTTTTCATGGGCAGGGGAGGTTGGAGTCAACAATAAACATATTGCAAATGCAACTAAACAGGAAGTTTGATAATTAACAAGCATGTTGGCACAATACCGTATTTGTGTTGAAGGGCAATTGCCAGATGCGAACAAACCTGTTGCTTAAATCCATATTAAAAAATTTCCATGCTATAAAATTGACGTTTTGCTATGTGCATAGAAAAGAAGTTCATCAGTAGAAGATTAAATGGAGCTTCTGTACGTTAGCATTAAAGTCAAATAGCATGTGTTTGTTTGTAGCCATTTGGTGCTTGAATTAAGCCCAGTACTATTGTCTTTCCTTTCGACTTTGATTTGATCTGCAATGTTTCATTTCGAATTAATCGGTTGCATTCAATTTGATTGTATACCAGCCATGAAACCTGAAACACAATTTATAATACAAAATAAATTGAAAAATATGAAAGAAAAGGCATTTTTAATCATATACCTTTTCAGGATACCGTTCAAATTTTCCATAGTCCAAACCGACACTCTTTTTGAAAATACAATAAAAGTTAGTAATATTGAAATAGAAAGCCACATTGATTACCTGTCAGAGTATGGAAATGTAGTTTCCAAAGACTCAAAAAAGGATGTCAAAATGGCAAATGTCTGGATTTCCTACAATTCCAATGAAAGCCCCAACAACTATCTGTACAACATTCTCGATCATCCCTGGAATGTCCAAAGCACCAAGATCAACGATATTTTGGCCTCAAAGATACCAAACATTCAACTTTTGACGCCCCATGACGGATTGAATCCGCTGGAGTTCAAATTCAAGCAGGACAAAAACGTACAGTACTTTAATTTAGAGTCGCAGGAACATGAAAATCCCAAAATAGCAGACAAGCCTGACCCTTATAGCATTGAAAATGAAGTGTACCAGGACACTATGTACTTTGAAGCACCAAGAATCACTTTTAATATGATAAAATATCTGTTAAAATTTAGCTCATCGTCCAAGGTCGTTATGAATTACAGCGAACTTCAAAAGACACCGTTTTTGGTTATTTTCTTTCTCCACCTGCCAATAATTTTAACTTCAATCATCATTGTGATTTTGGTTCTCTCGTTTGAATCAGGGATTACAAAAGATTTAATACAGGACGAAATATCAAAGCTACCTTTACAAAAATATTCTGAAGACCTTGAGTTTACCGAGTGTTCAATTTGCCTTGATATTTTCCAAGTAAACGAGGAGGTGAGGGTGTTAAGCTGCAAACACTGCTTCCATAGGAACTGCATAGACTCGTGGCTGCGGTCAATGCTAAAGTGTCCAATATGCAGAAACTCGGTTACAAAGCTGGCAGATTCACAAAATTATGAATTCTACCAATCCTTAAATAGTATACCGTAGCTTTACTTTGGTATTTCATACAGAGATGCACCAATTTATACTCATCAGCACCCGTTCGAGATAAATAAACTTTTAATTGTTTTTAATTTGTGGATGCTTTACTTAAAAATTTTACAAAAATTTTCATGCTTGAGAACTTCTTTAGAAAATACCAATGCAGGCATGGAAACTAGTCTGGCTCACATTACTATCAAATGAGCAGGCTTAGTCGTGAACACCTGCTATTGGTCTGTGCATAGGCTTTAGGATCATGCAGAGACATCTGCTAAAGTTTGATGGGAAAATGCCAAACCAAAAAAGCTTTTTTGAAATTGTCAAATTTATAAGCTTAAAAATTTTAGGAAAATTTTACTGCCACAAAACTACTCAAAACTAAGACAAAGACCATTCCAGCCATTGACAATCAAGTTCATAGTTTAGGCATGCCACACACATTGCAAATTTTTTCATACGTGATTTTAAAAATCTTTTCTGCAAAGGAGTTGAGTTGGATTTATTTTTCTTCCAAAATTTTTTTGAGCTGGGTAGAAATTTGAATATCAAAGAATGCAAGATAGTTGAGGGTTTGCCGTCAATATTTGCGATATTTTGGCACATTTGCAGTGTCTGTAGCGCTATTTTCACTTTAAATATATTTATTCAAGGACTCTTGGGATGACGGCTTAAAGCAAGAGAGAGTCATGCAGCAGTCCAATAGAATCATAACAGTTATTTTGTAGTTGCAAAATACCCGAAGTATATCCTGTACATAGGGCTTTATCTATGTCAAAGTGACATGGTTTATCATTTCAGCACTATGCGATCTTAATGCAATAAATCAACTATTAGCTATTGATTGATGATATTCAAAATGGGATGGACAATCACAAGGCTGGGCCATAGAATGGATATATGCCATGAATATAAAAATTATACAACACAACAATACTTTGTGACCTACTCATATAAAATGTGGTACAAGACAAGGCTACACGACTGAAACATAATAATAATGCGTAGTCTGAGTAAAAAAGGATAAAATGCAAACGTTTACTTCATTCAGTCAACTGTTTAAAATTTAATATTTCTCAATATGCCAAAGTTTATCCAAAACGAACGAATCCACGAAACACGAAAAACGGAGCGCAATTGTAAATGGTTAGCTAGCACGTTCCTGTTAAATTAAACATTTATGTTGCTTTGCTGGGCATATTTGATTAAACTAAAATTTACTTCGAAAGCTGTCAAAACGAATTGGAGCTTAGCTAAACGGCTTTTAAATTGAATATGCCAGGGGACAGCCTTAAAATGCAGCCGCAAAAATAATTCTCAGCAGATAGGATTGTTTATCTGAATTCAAAACGAAACTATTGCAATGATGCTTGTGTCAAAGGTTTCAAGTTGATTGGCCAGATTGACTACTTACAACTCTGTTTGCATCTCAAATGTTATTTTGGCAAATAGATTTTCAGAAATCACCAGAAGTTCTTTGTTTCAACTTTATTGATTTAAATCTGATTTAGAATATATCGAAAAATTTTTAAAACCCTATGATTCCGGAAAGATATGATGAAAAACAACCCTCAAGAGAGAAGGTATGCTTTAACTGCTTGACCAAAGAGACTCCCCTTTGGCGAAGGTCAAAAAAAGGTGTAAATCTTTGCAATGCCTGTGGATTATATTACAGGAACCATGGGGAACATAGGCCTATTAACAAAAAGATGGCTTATCAAAATCAAAAGAGTCTAGATAAGTCTAAATCCAAGTTTGCCTTCCTGGAAAATATTGCCATATCAGCATTGGCTGAATTAAAATCAAAAGCTAAAATGGAGTCCAGATATAGGTCAGATGAGAATATGAAGGAACGATTTGATGATTCTCAGCTGTTTAATAAAAAATATAAGGATCGAATGGAAAATACAAACAGATTCCCACATATGAGAAGAGGCGGCATGATTGTTAGTAATGTAAGACCGAGCATACCGAATTTTGCAGAGTATGATCAAGCAGATCCCAGAACCTTTAAGGCATTGGAAAGATGCGGAAGAGCCTCAGAGTTTTATCCGGCACATAAGACCATTCACAGAATGCCAGAATACATTCAAAATATATTTACTGGCCAAGCCAGCAATCAAAAGGCCGCCAACACAGTACCTACGGATAGAGACACATACTTGAACCAGAATAGAACGAGACAACCAAGCTGCATAGCCAGTGAAGAAGGCTTTTTGGAGTCTAATATAGTGAATAAGAAGACAACAGTGCAGTCCAAGAGTAAAGAATACAGCAATGAAAGCGAACCGAAGGATGTGGGAGATGCGGTTGATAAACTTGCCGCACTTTCGGACCAGTAAGCAACATGATTGCAAAGCTGTCCAAACAACTCATGGCCAGGCAATTCGCCATTAAATACGAAGATGCTTCATTTTTACTCTCAGTATTCTTTATGTGATACCGTGAAGACTAAGGGCTATAATAAGCACTAAAACGGGATTATTTCAGTGTTTAAAATTTACTCAAGCTGTGAGGAGGCTTTTCAACAATGCAATTTTAAGTCATGCCTACTTGCCAAAAATACTAAAATTTTGCTTGTCAATGTTCTGTTGATTAAATGAAGCTGATGTGAAAGCTCAAAATTTTAAAATGAGCAATATAATGTTGGTTGTGAAACTTCAGTTTCAGAGTTGCCTTATGTCTATCCAAATGCATTGACGCATGCTACTTCACATATTTTTAATATCTATTCTTTGCTTTCAAGGCAATGGCAAATATGATCCAAAAATTGATATTCTGATTCATAAAGATTGCAAGTACAGTCAAGCATTGAAAACTCTTCTAGACTGGAGTGGCACAGAATATGGAATTTTGGACATGGATAAAAACATGGACTTAGTCAATCAAGACAAGCACATTCCCAAAGTGTTTATTAATGGAAAGCTCATTGGCGGGTACAGAGACTCTCTAAATATGTGGCAGTATGTATATAGAAAACTGCCCTTAGAATTGGACTTTTCAAGATTGTACAATCCCGAATATGTTATATCAAAATATTCAAAATCTGGAGAATCTGAAATTGCCAAGTGAAAGTAACAAACACTTATCAAGATTTTTCACATCAACCACTGCATGCTGCATATTGTAGGTAGGATAAGGCTCGTAAGCTTGCAGGACATGGCACGACCATACACTTCGATGCAGACAAAAGGCAGGGTCTTATCGTCTTAGTCAATTTGTCCCTAGACATCCTGCATATTTTATGATAATGCCATTATGATTGTGTCTGATCTCAGACTATTTATAAACTAATAAAGCATATAGAATTTTGAACAATATCGGGGGTTAAAGCATGTTTTGGCAAATAGTTTGTTTATTTACGTTGTTTTATGCTGTAATATTTGAAAGTTTCATACGAAGCACTCGCACAAACATTCATGCATCTAAAATGGCTGTTTCTGGTACTCGCCACTTTGATTGATGGAAAAGTAGCTTATATCAATAACAACGAAGAAGCAGCAATTAAAAGGGCTGTTGAGAAAGCTGTTCACAACCTGACAGACGAGGAGCTTATGGTTCGAAATGCGGTCAAAGATGAGGGATACGAAATCTCTCCATGGGGAATTACAGTAATAATACGTGAGAATTGTTATTGGAGTAAAACAATGCTTAAGTACCTAGATGACAGAGATGTCAAGTATAATCTTATTGTGGCAAAGGATATGGACTCAATGACGGACCTATTGCATACAATGAGACACGTCAAAAGAAAGTTCCCAGCCGTATATGTCGATGATATGTACGTTGGCGGATATGAGAAGGCACTGAACGACAGCAATTTCAATGAATGGGTAAACAATAAAGGTATTGAGAATGGCCTAGAAAAAGACAGCGTAGTTTAAAAATAAACAGCATTTCGCTTGGTTCTATCTACTTGTACTTTATCTGCTAGCTTTGTGCTATAAATTAACGTTACAGTACGAAAAGTTCAATAACAGACCTCAGCAACTAATGCACGAGCTAAGATCTAAATCCATATGCTCATAACACACCAAACTACACCAAGGCCATTGGTATAAGAACTAAAAGCACTATAACCACTTACATTTGATTCCATTAAACTAAAGAGTCGTTCTATCACTTTGTCTTCTCTTTAAGATTCCATACAGCTTTCTTGTCAAGTCCATGGCATCGTTTGGCACTCTATGGCCTTTCTTAAAATCTTTGAGCTTGCAGTACAGCATAAGGTAGAATCCATCACCGCTTGCCGTTTTTTCGTTCTGTGCAATCTCAAATAGATCTTTTGAATTGTAAAATAGCTCATCTATCTTGTGGGCCATTTCGTTCGGTCCAGATTTGATGAATACCCCCTGTCTAAAACCTAATGAGTAGTACATCCTGGCAGCCACTGGCATCATATCATCGTATGGAGAGATGTGAAGCGAAAGAATTGTGTTGTCTCTAAGCTTGTATAAGTTTTTGAGATACTGTACAGAATCCAGCATTATTTTGTAGGAGAGACCTTGGCCGCGATAATGTTCAAGTACAGTGCAGTAGTAAAAACTAAAAAAATCGTACTCTTCTCTTTTGCTGATGGAATAGCATTTGTCCTTTGAAACCATCAAAAAGGCAGCCAGCTCCTTGCCTTCTAAAAACATGAAAACTTCCTTTTTTGCTGTCTCAACCAAGGAGTCGAGATTGCCAGATGCTCCTTTGAAATATACAGCAGACAGTTTAAAGTACTTGTCTATTTGAGAATACGTCTTTATTGCTTGGTTATGAGACGGAAGCGCAATGAATTGCAGAGCACAGACAAGATTCAACCACAGTAAAAGTTTCATTTTGAAGGCTCGGGAAGACAAAATTAATTATGAGCGAAAGTAATAAAGTATTCGACAATGGACATGCCATTTATATTTAAATAGACCAATGGCATAGTGCCAGTGTTAATACTGTGACAGGAGGTTACTGAGCTATACAAACACCCATCGTATAGCTAGCCCTATGCTCAATAATAGTGGATAATGCATACACCATACACTATGTGAAAAGTCGTTGTTATCTTAGAAGTTTTTTCACGGTTGACAAGTATCAGTTTGGTAGCCACATATAGTTTATTTGGCACAGTCACCTTGCAACTATTAAGTGCGATGCTCTTTAGAGTATGCTTTCTTTTCTTTTTAAAATTTTACTTAATCGTCGTGCTTTTCAGCCCCGATGGAAACCAAGTCACAGATCGAGCAAATTCTCAAAAGAAGATTCTTTGTAACACCAACAGGCTATCCACCCTTGAATGGTTTCCTGGACTATGGTCCTGTACTCGCCCAAATCAAGCAGCAAATCGTCGTCGAGTACAAAAAAGTATTCTTAGACGAGGATGTTTTTGAAATCGAGCCGAGTATTGTCCTTCCTTACGAAGTTTTGAAGAACTCTGGACACGTGGATAAGTTCTGTGACGTTATTATTTCCGATGGCCAAGATATATTCAGGGCTGATCATTTCATTGAGGATAAAATAGGAAGCATCTTAACATTACCGATTGATATTAGGGAAAATTTTCAAGAACTAATGAAGAGAGTTACAGAAATGAAATCTGAAATTGTCAGTGCCAAAAAGCTAAGTGCAACAACCAATACCATTAATAATTCTGTCCAGAATCTTTCATTGAATCCGGAGACCACCCAACTAACAGAAGATGAAGTGAGTAAAATTTTGTCAAAGTTTTCATGTGCCCCTAAGCATCTGGCAGATCTGAACAAAGATGAGATTGATTTTGTTGTAAACCTTCACAATCTTTATCCGCCATCTGGAAAGCCTTTTGAGCCAGCACGCGACTTTAAGCTGATTTTCAGTCTGAACGAGAGACAGTTTCTTAGGCCAGAGCTTGCCCAATCTATGTTTACTAATTTTAGGAAGCTGTTTGAGTTGAATAACGAAAGATTGCCATTCGCCAGTCTTTGTATCGGAAGAAGTTACAGAAATGAAATCAGCGCCCGTGGTGGAATGCTGAGGACAAAGGAATTTGAGCAGGCAGAAATTGAGTATTTTACCGAAGATGGAAATCATTCTGGATTTGAATCTGTTAGAAGCGTCCGGATGCTCATCCTTCCAAATACATGTCTAAAACCATACTCGGTAACACTCGGGGAGGCATATGACACCAAAACCATTTCATCCCAGGCAGTGTGCTACTTCCTTGCAAAGGCACAGGAATTTTGTTTGAATATTGGCATCAAGTTAGAAAACTTAAGGTATCGGCAGCACAATAAGAACGAAATGGCGCACTATGCAGATGACTGCTGGGATGTTGAAATTAAGACGCTCTCTGGATGGATTGAATGTGCTGGAATTGCTGATCGGTCAAATTTTGACTTAACAGTGCATTCCAGAGACGTAAACACGCAGGTTAAAAGATCAATACCACCTAGAGTATCATACGAAGTAGTTCCAAACAAGAGTGATTTGGGAAAGAGGCTAAAATCCAAGTTTAAAGATTTCCAGGAATACTTATCCAATCTTGATCAAGACTTTATCGTCAGAAATACAAAGGGAAACTTCATCGATGTTGAATTTGAGGGCCAATGTTACACATGCAGTGTGGAATCTAGGGTGATTGATTGTGAATTTTTCATTCCACGTGTGATTGAGCCGTCATTTGGTATTTCCAGGGTTCTTTATTGCTTGGTTGAACAGAGCTTTATGATTCGTGACGACAGGAATGTCCTAAGTCTTAAGCCGAAGATGTGCTATCTCCATTGTGTGATTGGCTTTTTGAAATATCTGGATGAGTTTGAGGAACCGTTGAAGACATTAAAGAATGATTTGAAAGCTCTATCTCTTCGGATTAAAATTACTGAGAGAGGATGCTCGATAGGGCGGAAGTATTCAAGCTTTGACGAGTTGGGAGTTCCCTTCTTTGTTACATTTGATTTTTTAACACCAGACGATAAACAGGTCACGATTAGAGAAAGAGACTCAATGTCGCAGATAAGGATTCCATTAGATTCAGTGGCTAGTATTTTGAGAGAGCTGGTTGACGAAAAGACCACGTGGAGTGTTTTATTTGCAAAGCATGGTATTTCCAATTAAATTGGGATTTTTGTTTCTTATCTAAAAGTATGTTTGTAGTCTACATCTGTGCTTTCTAGCTTTCCTTGGCCAAACGTTTGGAGATACCATAAAATAGTAGCCCTCTGCTACGACCTAACAAAACTTAAAACATTGACAGCCTGTTCAGAGATCCTCGAATAAATGCCACTAAGCGCTACTTGGTCTATTTTAGGGCATGGCTGCTGGCAAGCCTCTTTAAGATCTTGAACAAACTTGGTAGTTCATGTAAAAGAAAATATCCGTTTTAACAGCAGCCGTGGTTAAAGGATACTGCTGTAAATCGGACATACATGGTATCCATCTAATTGACCAGAGAAAACCATCAAGTATGCCCGTTTAAAAACTTATAAAAGGATTATGCAGAATCAACTTTCGCTTAATAGACACATGAAAGACGTGCATGTGCGTAGCATTAATAATCGACGACAAGTTTTGATGACGGAAGTATACTCAGCAGACATTTCCTGCTGGTATTAACAATAGCATAATACCCAACACACAGCGCCATGCAAAGAACAGTTCAGTCTTAAACAAAGAATACATATTTAATTATAAATCCTTTAATATTGAGTATAGTTCAGGATCATGTGCTACATCGGAAATAAATTGACTTTTAAAGAAATAAATAGGATATCTACCCCTGTAGTCGATAGCTTCCATGTACTTTCTCGCATCAGTGTTTGCTTTAATGTCAGCAAGATGAAAATTGTCGGTGATTTTCTGATTTTATTTACTACCACCATGCACTCGTCATTGCAAACACCATTGGTCACAATGATAAGTTTTCCCGAGTGAAGCTGATTTTCAAAATCTCCAAACTCACACAATACTTGAGCTATCAACAGAAGCCACTTCAACATGCTGTGTATTTGCTGGTTGTTTATATTTATTGTTTTGTTTGACCTGTAAATCGCTCTATGACATCTAAAATTCTGTAATGATTTATGCTGCAGACGTGTTTTAAGTTTCGTTCTTAATACCAGCAGTCAAAGGAAAGTGAAGCAAGCATAGATGTCTACGCTAGCAAGGCATTTGTGTTAATACCTGCGAAGTTTATTTCAAAATTTGACTTCATTTATTTTTCTTGCTTACTTCTCTGGGGTCTTTTAGTTTTTCCCCATGGATTACTTTGCCGAACAGCGCAACGATGTATACGGACCATATCACATGCATCACCTGCAAACATGATAGACAGACCAGGATAACATAGTTGGATATGCAGAATCCTTCCATTTTGGCAAACATCCAGGCCTGGTACAGAATGTATCTAGGATAGACGAGAATACGAGAGATCATGAAGACACTCGTGAATATAAAGACAGCTACGCCTGAGACTACCTCGTTGTCCATGTAATGTTCGATTTTAGCGAATTCAAGAACAGGATCGGAGATGTCGTGCAAAAGCAGAATGGCCACTCCAAAATTGATGTATTTTGGAACAAATGAGAAATACATCAATGCCAAGGTGGTGATGTGGTGAAGAAACAGCTGGAAAAAGTCTTGCTTTTTTGGCTCATACATTATTGTTGTTAGTTCGTTGACATAGAAGCATATTTCATAGAAATAGTAAATTTTGAATTTCAGGGGAATCATGGTCTTTATATCGTTCAAAAGATCCAATTTGGATGCCCACTTCTCGTTATACAGGACTGTAATGCCTAAGAAGATACTCGACACATAGTATATTGTCTTGTAGAGAGCTATTTGCACCTTTCTGTCTGTGGCCTTTGTTGTGATGACTTTATTTCTCCATTTGATATATTCGGGTGTGAGGACGTACCTAATAAAAAGCTTAGCGACAGAAATGATAACGAAGATTGACACAAGCACAACAGCATTCTCAATATGATCCGGGCCTATTTGCATTCATTTTTGTATGCAAACAAATTCAAAAGAAATTTTTGAAACAAAATAAACATACAGGGATAAAATTTTGTTTCAAAAATTAATCTGGAAATGAGAAAATGCGGCCACAAAGCACATGGATGAGTTGCCCGCCCAGGATTTATCACAAGAAAACTTTTATAGTTTTTCCAAAATTTTTATAAAGCAAAAGTAAAAATCTAACAAAACTTTTCTGACCTTCAGACGGTGTGTAGAAAATTTTTATTCATTCACAGTACTACTTTGAAACATTTATTCATTCTCAAGATAGTACCTTAGAGACGGCGATGATCCCAAAAAGCGCTCATTTACATGAAAAGAGGCATATCCCAGCATTTTCCAAGTGTCAAGAAAGCCAAGCTCCTCAATGTCAGGATTTACATCAGAGAGAACAGAGTCATTTGTACCGTTATTTTTAGTTACATAGATGGCCTGGTTTGATTTTGAACTAGCCTTTACGAACAATCCAAGGTTTTCTATTGCTGGCTTGAAACTTCGGGTCTAGCGAAAGTGCATTGTTGTATTGCTCGGCAGCATCAGAAAACCGGTGGGTGCTGTAGTAATAGTTTCCGTATGTGTTGTAGATGTATTTGTTTTCTTTGTCGCCCTTGATGGCTTCATCGAGATAAAGAGGAATGTCAATATTAAATATTTTAGGATTTTCTAGTCCTTCTCTTGCAAGAATGTAGGAAATGTATGGATCAAACTCCTCGTCTTTTTTATATTTCAATATCTCCTTATGGCTGCCTCTTAAGTAGTGAATGTAGACTCTGAGTCTCTTTATAAAGTAGTTGATGCCAAGATGCTCACAGTACTCTTCTATCTCTGCCATGGCTAGATCGTACTTTTTCTTGAGAATGTAAATATGAATAATTTCTAATTTTATGATTGCACACATTCTAAAGCCATCAAACGTTGACAACAGCCTCTCGAGATAGTCCAACGCCCTATCTAAAAACCCTAGCCTCTTCTTTGTTTTGGCTGCAAAGATCATAACAGAGACAAGAAACCTATTGGCAAACTCGCCCTCCATGACACGTCCAAACTGTTTCAGGGCAAGCTCGCAGTCACCTGCAAGCTGATTCCACATCGCCATTATGTTCAATGCCCAAAGATCTACGCTCGAGCTGTTCTGGGCATACTTAAACAGGTGACTGTAGCTTTCAATGGGCTTTCCATTAATCAGGGCCATTGCACCGTAAATGATGTTGAGAATGTTTGAGTTCGGATCGACGTTAGTGATATTCTTCAGAATTTTGTCGATCCTAGCCATATGCCTTTGGTCAAATGATCTTTTGAACTCATCATACATACTATTTACATACTGCCTAACTGAAACACTAAGCGATGCTTCGCTTTGCTGATGGGCCTCCGTTTCATCGTGCCCATTAGTAGGAAATGTTGTTTCATTTTCCATAGAGGGTAAATTTTTTTTGAAAATAAATTTATCAATCAGGAAAAAACAAACAAATATTTTGCCGAGCATATTTGAAGGAAAATTTACTATTGACTACACTACTTTCTTTGCAGGAAATACTCTTTTTTGATAAGCTTGCCAATTTTTGATCTAAATTTTTTCAAATCTAAAATGCAGGACACAAAGCCGCGACACAAAGCCAGAAATAGAAGGATGGATGCAATTAAAAATACACTCTGATTGCATCCATTATATTTAAGCCAATTGCCGAAAAGTAAGTTAGTTGAGAGCAATCAACTGACACGTCTACTAATTTTAAAGAATAACCCACGAACCAAATTAAAGCACATTTTAAGGAGTTTTTGATAGCTCTGCTCATAAATCAGTAAATTATACTTGATATTTTTGACAGGCTTGCATCACCTTGACAGTTCGAGATGAAAAAATGAAAAGTTCTCAGTTAAAAATTTTCTTTTACAGATAGGGAAGGAGGAGATATAAGCAGAAGATGAAAGCGCCACAGTATTAGAATGATATGACTTCGATCAGGACAAGTTTTGATTTTATATTGTGGGGCTTGAGAATCGCCAGTAAGCGGTGCTGGACAGAAATACGAGACTTTTGTGATAAATTAAAATCAGATTTAGCTGCTATAGAAGGCAGTCTGCACATATAGTCTATAAAATAAAGCCATGGTAAATTAACGGTATGCTGTACTGCAAGGCCTTTAGAAACATTCAAAGCGAATTCGAGCAAAAGCTACAACGAAGGGAAATCTGTACAGAAAACGTAGCAAATGAAACGGTAAACGACACATTTCTAGCAGAATGCCGTTGCTTGCTTGAGCCATTATGAGATAGCATAGCAGCATTCCACTTTTTCCTTCAGTTTGCCACAGATCTGCAGAAATAAACAAGTTGGCTTTCTCAATATGTAAATCTGTTTAGTGGCCATTTTTCAGAAATCAAGTTATAGAATAATTGAATGCCAACGGTGCTCTAGAACCTGATCTTAATTTGTTGCCAAGATTGTGAATGATCATAAATGGGAAAAGTATCCAACCGTGGACGATTTGCATATGATATACAGTAAACTATTTGTCTAACATTACCCCATCTAATAGGCGTATTCCCTTTTCTACAAAAGCTATCATTACAGGCTTTGATATTTGATCTAGTTTCAAATCCGAGTTCAATATGACCTCTGAAGTTTTGAGATGCAAATGGATTTTTGTATCAAGACTGGCGATTTCGTAGAGGTAGTTAAACGAATACAAAATGTATGTTCTGAGAACATCGGAGCCGGTGGATTTTAAACGCTCTATTGCATCGTCAATTAGAGCTGTATCTCTGTTCAACAGCATACCCAAACTTTTAAACTGCAAATCATAGAGCTCTTTGTGGGATAAGTCCATCAGCTGATCAAAAATGGCCTGTGAGTGCATTTGGAATATTCTTTGCGAAGCCCTCTCTAAAATGGAACCAAAAGACGAATGAACAGACATTAGGGCCTTCAGATCACTACCTTCTCGTAAGATCTTCACAGCTTTTTGCAGACGCATTGGATTGAAACGGTTGTCAAATATGTTCGTGTTGGCATGTGCATAGTCGTTTTGTGAAATTGTTGTGTTGTTGTTTGGAACTTCACAGTATCCACCATATTTAGACTGCTGTTTTGGCAACTCCTTGACAATGCCTGGCTTGATAAATCTTTTAAATTCGTTAAAGGTGGCACGACTGCTTGCATCAAACTCGTCTTTGCCAAACAGTGCAGTAGCTATAAAAGATGCCCGATCTCTAAACTCAGATCTTGAATCTGCAAATCTAGAGGTGATAAGTGAAATTAGTCTTAACACAACACAATCATCAAGATCGCAATGCTTTAAATAAACCAAAATAATCTTACAAGCTTCTTTGTCGGATTCGTTTTCAACATGCTCAGCCCTAGCATGCTCCTCCACTAAATTCAAAATAAACTTTGGAAGGCTTCTGGTTTCTTTAAATCTTTGCAATATCTTGCATTCTTCTTCATCTATCAATTCTAAATTGGCACAGCTATCATGTCCACATCTAGTTTTTTCTCTGCAATCTGTTTTTGATGCTTTTTGGCTCATCCGAGGGCACGCTTCTAAAATTTTATAAGTATAGTCAGGTGGATTTACTACAAATGCTTTGTAGTTGAAGTTGCAAGTACAGCAGCATTGGCTTATAGTAAAAAAGCCTATAGCTGGGAAGTAATGATGTTAGCTCAGACGTAAGCGAAGATCCGATTAAACGTCATGCATAAATCTAGAGCTTCAAAACCAGATGTGCTGAGCTGTACTTACGATTGGATGGTCTCTTTGTATCCACAGCCCTCACAGGAGTAGAATACCGTCTGTCCCTCATCTGCAGATCTCAACTGTGCGGTGCTGTACATCATTTCTGGTCTATTGCACTTTGGACAAGAAAGACTTATCCTCGCTCCTCTAACTTGGACATCCTCATGCTCGTCCTGTCTTGTAAGCTCCTTAGCAACGGAAATCACAAAAATGTTTGTATATTTAAAGCATGAGTTGCATCGTCTGCAGCGTATTTCTTCGCTAACTAGCGTTGGAAAGAATATCAACGCTCCACACTTGCAGAACATCTTAAAGGGAAAATTCTTTGCAAAAAATAAACGGACTCTAAAATCTGCAAATGGATTTATTGGTATATGAATTTAAGGCCAGTGGCGCAAAGCCAAGACCACAAGTTACTTGGAAGCCATTACCAAACGGTATAAGGCACATTTAATAATAGAATGCCCATTAATACGGAACAGGGGTGTTTGTTTGCCACACGTAAAAGTTTTAATTTTACGCCTATAGTGTTTTAACCTTCAGAATATCAGCACCAACATTCTGCCAGTCATAGTATGTCATGAACATTGTTTTTGTCTGGTTATTCATCCCAAACACCGATGCTCCCACAAATGTGCAGTTCAAATTTCTGTCTCGGAGCACAAAATCAGCAAAATCGGCACCAATTCTGTCAAGTATTAGTGACTTAACAAAGTTGTGGAAGGAATCAAACCTGAATAGTCCTCCACTAAGAATAATGCATCCATTTGCCGAGTTTTTCTTGTTAATGTAGTATGAAGATCTTGTGCTTACGACTTTGTCAACCATGGCTGCTATATCTGGTCTTAGGATTTCAAAAATATCAACACCACATCTAGCCTTTAGATTTTCAATACTTTCTCTGGACTCCAAAATGCTAGACACAGTAATGGCCGGATCGTTAAAGACCTCGCATTGTAGTATGTCTTGCACAATGCCACGATTTTCGCCGGAATCGGCGAGTAACTTTGAAATGGCACTTTCCAGCCGTGCAGATCCGCCAGCCAGCACGTGCGATTCTACAATCCTTCCGTTGATCACAGTTGAAACTCTAAAGGAGGATGCTGAACAACAGAGTACTGTTCCCGAAACCTTACCAAACCCAAATATATCTGCAATGGGGGATTTCAGCAACAGAACGGACTGGCATAGCTTATTCACGAATAGAAACTTCAGTATTTTTGAGCTGTCTTCGAATCCAAAGTCTGGACTTTCTATGAGAATCAAAGAATCTACTGAGCATTCCTTCAAATATTTTTCTAAAATTTTACAGGCTGTCTCGTATGAGGTGGCTTGGAATGGCGAAAAGGAGGATGTTTTGAAAGTATATGTTGGATGAAAGTCGCCAGAATATCCTATTTTGGTGAATTTTGAGCCGATATCTACGATTAAAGTGTCTATATGTGGAATTATCTCGACCATTGGGGAGAGGGAGGGCAAACTAACTTTATCCGGCTCATGATTTTGTATTCTTCACAACAAACAAGGGATCTTTCACACACTACTATATGTAGATATAACTAACACTATAGTAACTGATCAAAACTTCAGATTTTGACTAAATCTAATTTAATAGACAGATCAATGCAGATTTTGTAAAAAGCAAATCTTAGACAGAAAAGGCCACAGTCTGTGCAAATGCATACTGAAATTTGGACTTTCTGCATAGCTGGCCTCGGCACATGCAGGAGTTAGATTACTGGCACTTTAGTTCCAAGATTGTGCAATCAGCTTCTTTTTCTAAACATTTATTGCAAAAATTTTTCAAAATATGCTTTGCAAGATCATTAATCAATTCAAGCCATTCAAAACTATCGCAATCGTATCAGTAGTGTAGCAATGCAATACCGCTTCGTTAGCTAATATCTATCTACATCGTAACTGATGTTCAAGATTTGTTCCAAGAGGCTTGTACTTGTGAAGATTTGAGTGTGATACTTCCACGATGACCGCCTTTGTGCTTATATCACTGAGCGATCAATATCATTGCGGCTTCCATGTACTTCTTCAGCCGTTTCACAAATATTTATACTATTTTCATTTTTACCCTATGAAGACATTGAACAAATTTTTACTTGGAGCACTCATCTTGTCAATAGCACTGAGGGTGCTGGTACATATAAACGTTATCTTTACGTGATAGGTTGCATGTTTTTTTTGCCCTATTCATCATCCTTCATTCCTTTATTGATGCGCTCAGAGTCAAAAATGCGGACGAGGAAACCATAATGGCCTATCATAAAAGAGTCGAGCACTTCAAAAATGCTTTACAACTTAATTAAAACATTGACATACTCCTGTTATGTGCCTTTGTAAATGGCTACGATTAGTATTTTTGCTTTCGGCCCGTTTCAGCCAAAATTTATATTTATAAATATAATTTGTTTTGAAAATTTTATAACAAAGGTGCCGCCATTTAATTAAGAGGATGTTGGCATAGTATTGAGTATGTTTAAGACTGGAATATGCCTTGAGACATTTGTTTAAGCACAATGGCATTGATATGGAATTGACCGAGCCCAATTTTACAGAGATTTGAAAAACAAATTTATATTTAAAGGAAACGGCTTACACATATTAACAGTACATTGGAAATTTAATGTATTTTAGAAGCGTTTGTCCTTACAAAGCCTTTTTTAATTCCTGTTTCTCGGAGTTGGCTTCTTCGGTAATGTCAATGTCAATGGGCTCGTTAGTTTTCAGACTTGTATTGAACGAGCGTCCAAGATAGACTACCCAGAAAATCCATATACCTATAACAGCTGCCATTGCCGTAGATGTGAAGGGCGAGAACCCTCTAAAGTCAATATCAGATACTAAGCTAGTCACCAGTATTCCGTATGCCGCACCTACAGACTTGCCAACCTTATTAAAAATTCCATCATAAATACTCTTGAACTTTGGCCTGTATCTCGACTCAATCCTCATGCTTATTCTTTCTTTCGTAACATCAAACGCCGTGTATTTAAAAATTTTCATTGCCGCCAGGCAGAACGTTCCCAGGTAATTTTCCAGTGCAATGAATGTTGCTGACCCGCCTAGCACTGAATTTAAAAAACCAAATGAGTTTCTATCCGCTGCCGAGTTGTACGAGCCTAGCCCAAGAATACAAAATGAAGAGATCAGTCCAACAATGGGTGTGATCATGGCAACAAACAGCCATCCTTGTTTATCTACAAATTTTGAGAATGCTGACATGTTCAATAAAATAACCGATACTGACGTCACATACTGATCGTAGCTATTAAACTTTCCAGAATACTTTCCACGCTCGATGTTCATTTCATCAGCACCCCTTTTGATGCCGTTTTTATAAACAGTCTCAAGAACATTGAATGCCACGCTATAGAAACACACAACTGTGCACATTGCCAATAGGAACTTTGACTTTCTCATGATCTGCAAACTCTCTGCAAAACCAGGAGTCACCTTCGGAGCTTTTGCTTTTTTTATTTTATCGGAAATGAATATGGGCTTGGTAATAACCTTAGTCTCGAGAATGTATTTACAAAAAAGCATCGCAAGTACAAGAAAGCCTTCTAAAAAGAATATTAGACCCATGAATATAGTTTTCTGGTCACTTGTTAGCCCTTCTTCAATTTTAAAAAACAGCGTGGTCACCATGGCTGATGCAAATAGGGAGACGTTGGCGATAATAAACAGCGGAGGAATAAACCTGCTGTGCTGTCGTTCGGTGCAGATTTCATTCATGTATGAGAGAAATAGATAGGACAGAATCAGAGAGCCCCACAGCTCTGCAACGATATAAACTGATGTTGCCAATGGCTCGATTAACGTCAATATCAGGTACTTTAGAAATCCAATGTGCTTTGTTTGTGTGGCAAGGGCGGTGAGCTTTGTTCCCAAGAGGGATGTGCTGAACAGCATCTGCTTTTCAAACATTACGAAGGTTCCCAGGAGAAAGAACAATCCCATAAATGCCAGCGAAAAGAGAGAGAAAAGGTTAGAAACTGATCGCCTGACAAGGAGATAATTAATAGCAAAAACAATTAGAAACGATAGAGGCGCAATATAGAACAGCTTGATGTATAAGATACAGATAGGCTCCTGTCTGGACATTACATAGTTATCTTTCAGGATTCTCATAAATGAGTAAATAAAGCCAATAATACCAAACATTATACCAAACAGCGCAAATCTTGTGTATTCGCGGGATGCTATCCTAAAATTTTTTAAAATGCCTGTCCTACTGTTTGCCTCATCCTCAATTTGTTGTTCAGGTGGGAGATTATTGGCAGTATCAACTTGCATGGGCTTAATTAAGTATTTGTTTAAAAACAAATAAATAATAAATAAACCAGCAATAATGCACATCGCGAGTTTAATACCAGGCGGCACGGATTCTATATTCTGTCCTGGTTGGTTGTGCACTTCACCACACACAACAGCAGCTTCATATGCCAACAGCCACACTGGTAGCCACAGTACCACTAAATATATTACGCTAAAAGCCTAGTTTAGTTTTTGATAAATAAAAGTGTTTCAGATAAACCTGCCTAAGTGTTCTATGAATGCAAATGCAGTGGCCGTTTCTCTTTCCGAATACCATGTGGTTCCCAATGGCATCAATTTCAAAGACCATGTTTGAATTTTGGTCTACATACGTTATGAATCCGTCAACAGAATGTGCATCAGCCTTACCAATGGTGGAACTTGGTTTGTTGTGTTTGTCACTGATATGCTTGAAAATATATACGTCTAAAATGTCGCCCATGACCGCATTTATCCTGTCATTACATAGAATATAGCATCCTTCTGTAAAAAGAAGACATTCCGCACTGATAAGGGCATATCCTTCAAGCTGTGGAGTATACAGCTTTTCTAGTGCAATTTCAAAGACCCTTCTATCAATAAATGGTCCTTTTAAGCTTCTCGAAAGCTCTTTAACTTCAATGTCTTCAAATTCCAGGGAAACAAAACTATTTACCGGTATATCAATATTCAAGTCAAAAAACTCAACATTTTCATGAACCTTATGGCTTCTTGCAAAGGACTTTGATTGACACTTCTTGGTCTTTGAGTTTATCCAGCCCGAAATTGCCTTTCTGCCACTGCTTCGGCACTGATCTACTTCGTGAAAGGAGTTTTCTTCAACTTCAAATATTACCAGCCTATTCGAGCATACGCCAATCTTTTTGTGCACCGTTTCGCAGTCATTTTCATAGAGAACCAACTGTCCCGAATCAAAATCATCCAAATAAAATGTAAATGCATAAAGCCTTTCATCAACCATATCATCATGGCAGAGAAGGAAGTCCCCTTTTCTGTAGTATGAGGCAAACAGTGTGTAAAACACATCCTTCTCGGCCACTTTATCTTTGAAAACATTGTCTAGTTTATTTTTAAAAAACTGAAATCTATCGTCGTAGTTAAGTTCGTTGGATTGAAGAAAGTTGTACAGGTCGGTGTGTACTTCTTTGAAGGAAAGAGTAGAATAAATGTCCTTGATCTTATTGAGTTCGCTTTCCAGCAGAAAACTATCGACAACTTCATACTTAAATGGCTTTGTGACGTTCATTTTTAGTTCTGAAAATTTTGGCCTAAAACATCGATGGTTTATAGCTAAATGGACAGAAGCATTGCACTGCACATATTGTACTATGAAAGCCAACGATTAATTTATTTTTCTAAAATTTTATGAGCGACATACTCCAAGGATCCAGTCCAGACAATTTCACACTCTATAAATTTATTCGGCCAGTTTTACCCACTTCCAAAATTTCCAAAAAGACTTCTCAATCTTTCGATCTTCTCGCAAACAGCGGCAGAGCTGGCCATAAACTCTTTGTGAAACAACTTCTCGTTCCCAGACATGCTATTGATCATGTCGAACATAATGTCTATCTGTTCACTCTGCCTCTCTATAATTTCAAATATTAATTTATTTTCTAAACTGGCCTCTGAATGGTAGATGCTAAATCTTCCTTTTTTTATACTCGAGAACACTTCGGTTTTGGCATTCTCAATGTGGAATCTTCCCCTCTTTACGGAAGGTGTCTCTGCTTGTTCTTTTGTGATTTCGGGATTTTGGGACCTTTCGACATCTGGGTGATTGCTCAGACTTTGCTCGTCCAACATCAAGGGCTCCTTCAAATTAGAATCTAAAGGAAAAAATCAGGACGGAAGCGCGGCAGAAAAGGCGACGAGTAATAGTCATACTTGAATGCGCTTGGCTTTGTGGAGATTCCTGTTAAAATATAAGACTAAAAGCATGCTTTGCTACAAAATACTGGTGTAATATGTATTTCATTTCTATAAAAAGTGAAACGAAAGCAAAGCAAGGCTTCAGTAAAACATGACAGCAAATAGCCGTATGGAAACTATGGTATTCAATACCCAACTGTCCAGAATGTTGTTGTTAAAAAGATATATTCTGACACAAGAGCTTTATGAAATTTAAACAGAGATACAAAATTTAATAGAACTCAACTATGCCAGTGATTCCTTGATGCAGCACTTCATCTCTTGGTAGCTTCCACACAAAGCCAAAGCACAGTGTGCTAAGTTTGAGGTTTTTTCGTCTAAGCTGCTAATCTCAATAGCTCCATCCTGTGCGACAGCGATTGAGAGCAAAGAAAGAATGGAAAGCCCACCGAAGCTCTTTAGGGTTTCCAATACGAATTTTCTCATCGCTTCTCTGCTAAGTTTCGCGGTCTTTTTGAGGAAAATGATGTTGTATACTTTGCGAACCATTTTGAAAGAGGAGAGGAATTTTCGACAACTATCCTCAGAGTATTGTAGTCAAATGCCAAAGATAAACCGATGGCATTAAGCTAGTCTTGTGGTAGGTAAACTACAGAGCTCTATAAAGCGTACACAAGACTGTAATATCTTAGATAATAAACAATTTTCAATAAACCACATGTACAATAACAAGCATCAACATTCTTATAGATAGGCTAAATAATTACATTTATTAGATTATCCTGCACTATGACTTTCTTTTATGCTTCTTCTCCTTCGATTTGAGATAGTCTAACTCCACCGCCAACTCACATTTCTCCCTAAACAACTGCTCCTTCTCAAGAAGAACCTCTTCTAGGGCCATCCTTAGATCAGTGAACTCTTGGTTCTCTTTTCCCTCTAAGATTTCAATACATTTGGTCAAGTCGTACTTAAGGTTGAAATCCTTTGTGCTACTCTCAACCTCCTTAATGAAATTGAGAACATTATCCTTATCTGAAACAATATCCTTCTTCTTCATAACGCCTTTGCTCTTCTCGTTTGTCTTGTCTTTAAGGGCAGACTGCATTAATGGGTAAAGGAATTGAGTAGTTTTCTTTTTAGAATTTGGCGGGAATGAAGAAAATTTTCGAAATTAAAAGAGAAAAGACTTGGTCATGCATAAAACCCTGGCAATAGTGAACAGCAGAGCAGTGCGCAAGGAGCTTGTAGTGCTGAAGAACAGAGTAAAAATATGATGGTGCAATACAAAATGGCTAGTTGAGTGCTATTGAACAAGATATGTGTGCTGCCTACGACATCCTTTTAGGTATGACGTTGATATGCTAATGTGGTGGTAGACTTTTGCAGCCCATTTTTGGCAACCCCAAGAAAGAATGTTGCTTGGCTATGCTTCCCTTTTTGTGGATTTTAGTTCTGACGACAGCCAAAAGAGGCTGGACCTAGTTCTTTACACCCACGACTCTGGCATATTTGATGTTTGCAGAACTTTGGACGATGCTCGAAAACGAAGAGCTTAAAGGTTTTCTGAAAAGTGCCACAGCCTTACACTCACTAGGAAAAGTCCATAGTTACAAAAATTTTGTACTTGTTTGTGTAGGCTCAAAGGAGAATCCACAAATCAGGTTCAGTGTATACAAAGCTATGGATGAAGTGTACAACAGGTATTCAGGTAGTGACAATATATTGGCACTTGATGGCAAGTACTCTGGTGATGCGTTGTATGCCTTGGTAATGAAGAGCTATTCGTACCAGTTCTTGAAGAAAAAGACTGAACTGATCAAAAAACTTAAACTTTACTGCCCAGAAAACAATGAAATTTGTTTGAAAATTTTGAAGATTGCCAATGCTCAGAATTTTGCCAGATTTCTAGGAGACACGCCAGCCAACCTAATGACACCGGTGACGATGTCAGAGTATATAAAAGACTACTTTTTGAATGAGCCTATTGATTTAAAAATTTTTGATAAAAGCTTTTTAGAGAAGGAAAAAATGAATCTAGTGCTTGCTGTGTCACAGGGATCAGCAGAGGAGCCTAGGTTTATCCATGCCAAATATTTTGGTCGTGACTCCACCCAGATCGATTTGGCTATGGTGGGCAAGGGTGTTACTTTTGACACAGGTGGAATTTCAATCAAACCCAGCAGGGAGATGTTCAAGCTCAAACAGGATATGATGGGTGCTGCCATTCTTACATGTGTCTTGAAGCTAGTATCTCAGCTCAGGTTAAAAGTTAATGTGTCGCTCACTTTGCCTTTGGTGGAGAATATGCCAGGCGCATCAGCTGTAAAGCCAGGCGATGTCGTTAAAAGCCTATCTGGAAAAACCGTTGAAATTGACAATACGGATGCCGAGGGCAGACTTATACTTGCCGACGCAATAACGTTTGCTCAACGGGACAATCCAAAATATTTGATTGATGTGGCCACTCTCACTGGTGCAGTCAGAATAGCGCTTGGCAATGTGCATGGTGCGTATTTCACGGATGACGAGGCCTTCAGTGACTTGATCTACCAAAGTGGCAAAGAAGCCAACGATATCATCTGGAGACTGCCTCTGTCACCCTTTTTCGAAGAAAATTTGAAAAGCCCCGTCGCAGATATTTGTAACATTGACCGAAGCCTAAGTGGTGCGGGTGCTTCAGTTGCGGCGAATTTTATTAAGAGTTTTGTCAATAAAAGCGTTATTTGGGCACACTTTGATGTAAGTGGCATACGAAACAATCATTTTTTGAAGACTATTTTTGGAGACCAAACAACGGCCAGACCACTTGCGAGTTTGTTTACTCTTGTGGAAAATCTCCATATACATGATTAAATATTACCAAGCCACTTGCTAGTCTTGTTTCTACATTACTTCCCACTAGAAAAGATGCGAATACATTGCATTAGCTGCTACTCTATTTTTTCATATACTTTTGCCAATAACGCTTTTTCACAGCTGTGAATACCAAAAATTTTATTAACATTTTTATCGACAAAGCGACATTCAATCACAAATTTTCTATTAATTGATTTAATTATTAAATCCAGTCTATTACTTTGGGAAACAGTCTATATGTTGCCTCTGTGCATTCCTTTAATGACTCTATGCTGTCACACTCGATTTCGAATGGCCTTCCGTTGATTCGGAAAAGAATAATGTTCCTTTGAATCATCTCCAGAGATGGCTCGCTATCTGAAAGGTCAACAACGTGAACTAGGTTTCCGGTGTGGACATCAAACAGATAAATCGCATACCCGAACCATCTCACATATCTTTTGTTCCATGTGAAATTATCCTCGGGGTTTTTAACATTCAAAAATCCCTGAAACAGCTGTTCAAACGCATATTTTCTGAAGACGATCCATTTGCTCAATGAAATTAAGGAATCGGGTGCATTTTTTGCCAAATCGATTTCAGAGCTGGAAATAAAAGAGCAATAGTACTTGCAGATGGGCCGATCGTCCCTTTTACGACCAATGAGTCTCCTGATGGCATCAACCGGGGATGCTTTCTTGTCCAGCTCCAGTCTATTTTCAACTAGCGTGTTGTGTATATCTTCAAGATTCTTACTTGAAAAGTCAATGGAGCCCTGAAATATTTCTCTTCTTCCCGATTTAGAATGTTCAATAACCAAAATTTTCATTTTAATTTTATTATAAAGCTGATTTAAAACTGGAATTTTGATATATTGACTAACTTTTATAAAACTGTTAGAGTAGTACCTCTGGGTGCTGATGGAAATGCTTCCAGAATCCATCTGTAGTGACACCATGCTATCCAATCCCACGTTTAGTTTTTCAAGTGAATCAATAGCAATGTAGATAAACCCTGGATACTTGTCAAAGACAATCTTGCCTCCGACAATCTCCACCCCCCTCTGTGCTGACTTAGTAATGTTTTGAATTAATGTATCTTTTAAATGCGAGGTTGTGCCATCATTTGATGATTTTATCAATATTTCATTAGAACCATGCTCAATATTTGAGTGTTGAGAATGCTTAATTGAATTGTCAAAAGAAGACGGTTTGACGGGTGAGGTTTCCCCAAGAACAACACATGAGTTTATGTTTTCATTTGGTTCGATTTCGCTTGATTTGATGCTGTTTATCATGGGCACTTTAATCAGTATTTACTTTACCAAAATAGGAGTAAATAAATAAAATATAATGCTGCATGGTTAAGGGGAAAGATGGTCCATGTGTTAGGCCGCTCAATGGATGACAGTTGCAATAAAGTTACACATTCTATATTCTATTAACTTAGTAGATATTGATGGTACATTAAATAACACATTTTTAATTCTGATCTGTCCCTTCCCGCTACGAGATTGCCAAATTGGTTGTGGTTGATGCTAGCAGCAATGCCAATTCTATTTTATTCAAAAAGACATTGTTGCTCGTTAAGGTCAGCCCATAGTCTCCAGAAAACAAAATGGCCATGCCCCTTTTAAGTCTCCTTTCAAACCCAAAGCAAATAAATAACTGTAAATAAATAATCGCAACAGGAACAGTCAATGATTACAACACTCACAGATCAGTTTTTAATAGCTAGAGACAGGTATTTGCGCATTAAAAAAGAGCTGGTGGAATTTCCTTTGTTCTTTGTGAATGTTTCCAAGCCGAATAAGTTGTGCATACTGTGCTCAGGTAGATTAGAAAAAGCACACGGTTTGCAAAACGACTTGCATGCCGAAACTCTTATCCATGGTTCAGTGTGTAGTGGAAGCTGTTCAATTGAAGATAGGCTGTGCAAATTCTGTATTGAAAAGCTACATTCGAAAAACCACCTTTTTTGTCTTAGACTGCTCGTTCCTGAAGAGTATGTAGAGATTCAACGGTTCGTAGAGAACATCTGTGGCATTGGAAGTACTTTCTGTATTGAGATTGAAAAACTAATTGGAAAAAGATCATCAATTGAATATATCAATGATGTCTTCTGTTTTCTGAAAGACGAGTATGATAAAAAGACGTCTCCATGCAATCAAACTGCACTCGACTACTCATCTCTTGACTGCTCGCTTATTGCAAACTACAAAGAAAAATTAAAAGATGACAACATTAAGCGTTTGATCAACAACCAAATACAATTTAAAATTAGAATATTTGAAGAGCAACTTGAATCTCTCAGAAGGAACTATACCGACGCAGTGATGTCAGGGAAGTTTGATGACTCCAATGCTCTGAGAAACATGTTTTTTAGGATTTTCGAATCAAAAATTAGGTTGGAAGAGAAACTAGGCGGACTGCTATAAAGTAGCATTTTAAGGTAAATTTCGTCCACATCTGAGATTGCTGAAAGTCGCAAGCATGATTTGGCCGTCTGTTAAGAATAATTAAATTGATCGTTTTATTAACTAGCGTCACAACCGTTTAGCATGTAGGAAAGTTTGCAAGCCAATTGGTCTTTAAAGCTAGCACGCTTATTGCTGGGATTTTAAAAACTGAGATAAAAGCCCACTAATACTTTTTACCAGCTCTTCACTTTTTGATCTAACACGTATCTCAACCAACGAACTCGAGCCTGAGCTTATGCACACATTTACCAGAACGAGCGACTTTTGGATGGTATAGCATGCAATATTGCCAACCACAGATTCAAGATATTCAAACTTTCCACACAGATGACCATTGATTCTTTCGGAAATCTTCTGTAACAGCCCATCACAACTCTTCCTGATTGATATCGAATAGATGTTCTCCCATTCAAGATTTCTCCATTGGTCTTTAAAATCAACTTCGGCACCTTCCAAAAGCTCATTTACATCAAAAGAAATCTCAGATAAGTTTTGAACATATGGCCTTCCACTATAGTCATCTTTCCTTGGGTACTTGAAAGTAACAGTGGCAGTAACAAAGCTTGAAAAGCTTTCGTGTATTGAAAACTGTGCTTGAATAGTCGTTGCACTATCTGGCTGCAACGAGAATGGAGGAACAGCCGAGATCATTTGAATGTTCTTTGAAAAATTGAAGTCAATAGAAATATTTTGAAGATATGAGGACGTTTGATTGACGACTAGTAGGTCTAGGGAAATCTCATATTTACAGTGAGCACAGTTGGCCTCGATGTAAAGCGGATCCCCTAGCCCACTCAGTTGAACTGTAAACTGGTCAGAAGTGAGCGGATCGGTCCAACCAAATTTTTTGAATGCCAACGGTGTTGTCAATAGCGAAAATTCAACAGGCTTCAGTACATTAACATTTGCATAGTCAGCTGATTGCTCAGAAATGCTTCTCTTTTGCTTTTTGCCATTAATCAATGACCTTACACATGCAATAATCGTTGACTTCGAAGACATATCAAGAATATTTTGCAAATCGCCAACCTCAATTATTCTTAGAAGAGTTCCGACAGTTTTAATACTTAGGCCCCATTCATCCCTGTACGAACCAACAAGACACAGTGCAATATGGGCGCCTACAAACACCTCGGTCTGTTTACTCAGGTAAAATGGAACTGCATGCTGGCCAGCAAGAGCTGACTGATTAGATAATGCAAGTGATTCAGCGTCTGATACTGCTGCGACAGAGGACATTTCACACAAATCCAATTGCTTGGCATTAGAGCCGTTATGTGCTCTCAGCGAATTCAGATCATTCAGCAGACTATCCAAAAGCCTTTCATAGTTCTCTTTTGAAATATCTAGCGACAGAATGTCGAAGGCCCTTCTGATGATCTTTCCATACTTCAGCTTTGAAAAGTTTTCGAGTAGAAAGTCATGAATCAGCTTCTTAAACCTGTCTTTGGATACACAGGTATTCAAAAAACTAAGACTGGCATACATTATTTCGGGATCAGCATCCAATGCATTCTTTAGGCAGCTTGAAACCAGTTCATCAACATAGACACAGTGTGTGGATGCAAAAACAGCCATTTTCTCAAGAAGCAGAATTTTAAATGCCTTTTTTTTATCGGAGGTCATGCCCGTTTCGATATATTTTTGGTGAAGAAACTCAGCGATTCTCATAAACTCAGAAGCGTCAGCATTTTTGAAAACCACGTCAATCACCTGAGAGGAAAATTCGTAGTCATATGCATCAATGAGATTCAGAAGCTCGAAAGAGCTTGTGTCGATAAACTTAAGATATGGCAGAAAATCTTGTTTTAGATCAGTGGCAGACTCTAATATTCTGACAACATTATCAATAGTAGGCTTCTGTCCATGTCCTTTCGAAAGAAGCTTGCACGAAGCGTAGAACGAAACAGTATTGAACTTAGAATTGACCATATGCTTTAAGAAACCACCATCTTCATTTTTTTCCACCAAAACCTCCAAAATCTCCCTTGGATAGTCTATTTCCAAAAACTCTTCAAAGCCCATGCCCAGCTTGTGCATCACATCAAATCCAACAATCAGAACTTGGCTGACAGACTCTTTCTTCATTGTGCTGAGGATATCAGCCTCGACTTCAAGATCAAACTTAACCCAACTTCTCCCAAGCAGTATAGAGCGTTCATTCTGACATATGAGCATTTATTGTTCAAATTATCCTTAACATCTTTCAATAATGGAAGAACATAGTCAATGTTTTCCAGGGTTGAAATAAACTTGAGAACTAGTCCCCTTACAAACTCATTTGGACCCGATAGGTCTTTCTTAATCTGGTTTAAGCAGACTATAAAGCTCTTGTCTTCCTTATTCATTGTTTCAAAGAAATAGTACAGCAATCTTTTTAATTTGTTGTCATCCTTTCCCATAACCAATTGAACTACTGAATGGATGGTATCTGGAGAGTGGTGGCCAGTAGACTGCTGGGAGATAAGATGCTTTAGTGTCTTTTCTGGGTCTTTACTGAATAGTTTTTGATCCATCAACTCTTTCTGAATTTCAAGAAGAAGTTCCTGCGGCATTAAGGGCAGTCGTAGCAAAGTAAAATTATAAACAAAAGTGAATATTTGAAAGGACCATGGCGATTTAGCACTAGGACTGTGTATAATTTAGTCTGTGGAAAACTGCTGATTGCACAACACTTCAGGAAAATCAAACAATCTTGCAAATGAAATAGCCAAACGGTACTGAGGTGCCTAACAGACCTCTAATGTCCATCGTTTAAGTCTGATCTAAAATCTATTTGCATTAAGAAAGAAGCGTGCATAAGGCACTTAAAGATCTATTCTCTTTAAGTGCTTTATCTCATTATCTTTTTATAGGATAAAAACACTGCAAAGTATATCAGAACATGAATAGCAGTTATTCACCTGAACAACTGGATCGACTAATGCGTTGCTACACTTTCTATTGTCATTCAAATGCGATTTTGCATTTTAAAAATTTTTGCAAAAATTTTCAACCCATACAAATGAACATTGCACTCAGAGAAAAGGAGTTTATAGATGTCTCAAAGCAAGCTATTGAATCTGTCAAGGCTTTACCGTCGTCCATGGGGCCTAGAGTACTTCTTGCGTCTAGAGACAGGAGGGCATACATTGTGAGTCTTTCGCAGGATTTGGCCAATGCTTCTTCAAAAGTAATCAAGGCCTATGAAGATGAGCATAGAAAGAGGATAACTGACGCAGAGTACAGCCCAGTTGGAGACAAAGTGATAACTGTTTCGGCAGATAATCAAATCATCATCTGGGATAGAGAAGAGAAGACGTTTCAGAGGTTTAGTGGGCACAACAGAGCCATAACATCAGTTACGCTCAATTCAAAGAACAACAAAATTGTTACTGGATCTGAAGATGGTGCTTTTATTCCTTTGGAATACTCTTGGGGAGAAAATAGCGGTTTTTGATAAGTCCATTGAGCATGCACACAAGATGTGGGTTAATGCAGTTGGGTTTGTTCCAAAGAGCAACGATGTTCTTGTAACTGCCAGTGAGGATGGCACAGTCAAAATGTGGGATCTTGAATCCAACAGACTCCTCAAAACCTTCTTCAATGGTGCACTCATTGATTATGAAAAGGCCAAGGAGAACAAGACGCAGGTTAAAGACTGCGACTATGATCTTGCAGTTAAGGCCATAGCATTTTCCAAAGAGGGATCGCTTCTTGCTTACGGCGGCAGAAACTGCAAGGTTTATCTGCTGAATCTTGCCGATGGAGAGTTTCTACAGACTATTGATATTCCCGACAAGGTCATTGCACTTGCTTACGGTGAAACCCAGCCGTTAGTGGCTATTTCTATTCCCAATAAAATCCTACTTTGGAATATTATTGAAAATAAAATGGCTGCGGAGTATGTGTTTGCTCAGAAGGGCGAGAACTACTGCAGGTCGTTAGTTTTCATTGGAGATGAAATAATTGCAGGATTTGATGATGGCAGGGTGGCTAGAATTGAGTTGTCCAGAAATTAAATGCTTAATTTGAGGTCCTTTTTCTGGTTGATGTTTACACAGTTTAATATTTGCTTAAAATGCACTGCAATGAAAGCATCTTAAAGGCGTTTTTATCTTAACAGACTATCGGTCTGGCTTGTTTTTACGTCATAGCCATGTTACTCTCCGAGTCTCCCCTTCAGAGCATTTTTTCCAAGGCCGTAAAATGGAGTATGGGTTTAGCAGGAAGCTCTACCCTTCTCAAATAAAATTAATACAAGACGTTATCAACACAATCAATCAAAAGAAGATGGCAATTGTAAGTAGCCCCACCGGAACCGGAAAGACACTTTCTCTTCTGTGCGCCTTGACCAATTTTGTGAAAAAATCTACCCAGGAAGAGGATCTTTTTGAATTGCTCAGTCGTACCAATAGAACAAAGATTTACTACTGCTCAAGAACACACTCCCAGCTATCGCAGGTCATCAGTGAGCTAAGGTCCTGTAAATATCGGTACAAGAGCATTATTTTGGGATCTAGAAAAGTATACTGTGTCAACAACGAAGTTAATAAAATTACGAACATTGATCTGCTAAATGACAGATGCAAGGAGATGATTAGGGACGACAGTTGTAAGTATCATGGAAAGGAGTACTATACACATGAAACTCTGGATATTGAAGAACTGAAAGCCTGTGGAATTAAAGAGCGCTTCTGCCCATACTACCACGCCAAAAATAGATCTGCAGACTGTGAGATTGTGCTGCTTCCTTACAATCTGTTATTTACAGCTGAGGGACGTAAAAGCCTTGACATTTCATTAAAAGATAAAATTGTTGTTGTTGACGAGGCTCATAATATTTACGATACTGTGATCCAGTTAAACAGTGCAGAGCTCAGCTGGGACTCGATAAAGCTTATTTTCAATGCAAAAGGATTAAGCGAGGATCTGAAGTTTATTACTTCAAGTATACTTTCATTCAGATCACGAGTATTCCAAAATAATCAAAAAAGGACTCAAAATACATTGGATGGAGAAAACGGTGTTGGCAATGAGAGTGTGTATTCTGTAGTCAATTTCCTCATTGAGTGCAAAATAGCCAAGTTCAACATGCTTGAGATAGCTGATTTCATAGAAACGAACAAGCTGGCCCAGAAAAATGACATGAAAAGCATTTTTGAGTTTGCAAAGTTTCTAAAGCTCCTCACATTCAGTGACAGCTCGGGGCGAATATTTGCTAATAACAGCAAGATAAAGTTCTCATGCATAAGTCCAAAGATGTATTTTGAAGAGCTTAGTGAGTGCGCATCTGTCATATTTGCAGGTGGAACCATGGAACCAATCGCAAGTTTGAAGGCGATATTTCCTGAAATGCTCTATTTTACATATCCTGCTGTAAATGAAAATTTCGAGTCCGTGATAATAACGGAAACTGTAACCGGCAAACAAATCAATTTGAGTTTTAGCTATAGAAATGAGCAGATAGATGATGTTCTGAATACATTGATTGCGCTATCTAATCCTGTGGTTACAGGCGGAGTAGTAATCTTTGTACCGTCCAAGCAGTTCATGGAATTGCTTAAAAAATCACAAAAGATTGGTAATTTCAGGAGAAAAGTATATTTTGGGGACGATGTCTTGTTTGAAGATTTCAAAAGTAAGCCAGAGATTTTAATTGCAATCATGGGCGGGTCTCTTAGTGAGGGCATTAACTTTTCAGACGAAGTCTGCAGACTTTTAGTTGTTGTTGGGGTTCCGTATCCCACAAGATCGGTGGAGATAATGGAACGAGCAAAGTCCGTTAAAGATTACGAAACACTAGTTGCAATGAAAACTGTCAATCAAACCGTTGGTAGAGCCATCAGACATAAGGACGACTATGCTGCCATTGTTCTGCTAGACTGCAGATATTTGGCTCTAAAAGAAAGGCTCAGTCCTTGGCTGCACGCAAAAACTAAAATATGTAAATTTTCCGAAGGTCTTTTGAGAATCAACAGTTTCCTGAAAAGCTCCCTTGATAAATAAATAGCTGATGAATTATTTTAAACTCAATGCATTTCAATTTATTTATTATTTTCAAGTTAAAGGCATATCAAGCTTATCTATATCTTTGTGTATGTTTTAGATTCATTCCAGGAAACACTCCATTTTTAACTTCCAAAAGCTTCAGCGCAAGCTTTGGTCCTATTTCTTTCAAATGAACAACGAAATTTTCATCAGTGTTTTGAATAGAAGTGGCATAATGTCTAATATGAACTAGATCGTCATCAAAATGAAAGTGCAATGCTCTTCTTGCAGATCTATTCATGGTTCCAAAGTTCTGGAAGAGAGTCTTGGTGCTGCTTTTGCCTTCAAAAGTAATAAAAGGTGTCGTCCAGTAGATGTCATTTGGAAAGTTTTTGAAATTATTTTCATATTCAATAATTTTGAAGGAGTAGGTCGGTCCAGTTGGCAACAAGGCTATTCTTATCTCGTTCTCAGAGATGTAAATGATCTGCTTAACCAGTAATTGTGCTGCAACATCCACAATGTCCTGCAGTTTTGGGTTAACTTCGATTTTAGATAGACAATCTGGACTTAAAATTTTTCTAAGCTGCTTGCAGACGGCCTCGGCTTTCTTGGATGGGTGTCTGACAGATACAACAGCTGAATATATCAGCATGGATTTCCTAACTTCAAGATCAGCATTATCCTTCTGGTCGTTAGACAATTTCTTCGCGTTTGCTTTGGCTTTATTTCTAGCGAACTGCTTTGGCATTAGTATGGGAGGAGGTAAGTAAATTTTTGGCAAAACTCGCTTGGAGATTCTTGAGTATTAAAAATAAAATATCAAGGCATTCATGCGTAGTACAAAATATAGTGTATTTGTTAAAGCTTATGATGGGCACTCAATGTAACGATGTTTAGCTAATAGAACGGATGTGTATAGAGCTCAAAGCAATTATTGATGGCTTTGATTCAAAATATGATGAAAACTTTGTTCAGCGATGATTTTGATAGAGGCACCCAATTAAACATCAATATGCAATAGAAATATGCCACTGTGCAAAACATCTGTAATACAACTATCATTGTATATCCACATCTTGTTACGGTCAAATGCCCATATTCTTGTGTATGCTTATCTTTAGAAACTATGTTTTCCGATTTTTCTTTAAATTTGAACAATTTGTTTGCTCTTGATTGAAAAAATAAGAAAATCAGGAAACAGCAGTAGCATCAAAACAGCCAAAGAATAATTGAAAAATTAAAACCCAGGACCACAAATCCAAACAATGCTCAATACATATTTTTAACAATTTTTTTAAAAGAATTTTTTTGAAAAGTTTTTACTCTACAGATTTCAGCACCCCCAATGTCTACGCTGCAGATAGAAGATCTGGTTATCTACAAAAAGAGCGCCAAGCCAGGACAGCCAGAAGACACTGTCCTCATAGTCAAGGGTCTTTCGACTGTATTTGAGTCAGGAAAGCTCAATGCAATTATGGGTCCCAACGGCTGTGGTAAGACAACTCTGCTTTCGTCAATATATGGGTTAACGGATAAGAAGACAATGACGTCGGGAAGAATTTTTCTCAACGGTGAGAAGAGAGACCCAGTGTCCTGGTACTCAAGGACATCAATAGCCGAGCAGCTGTCATATATTCCAGAGGATGAGACTGTCGCACAAGCTCTTAAATTCTCGTTAGAGCTGAAGAATGCGCGATGCAAGAGCGATAGCAAGTTAAAGGATTACTTAGAAGCTATTGAGAATCTGCATCTATCAAAGTTGCTTGATACTAAGATTTCTGCTCTCTCTGGTAGGCGAAAAACAAAGAGTAATGATTGCCATCGACCTTATTTCTGACAAGGACATCATCATTTTGGACGAGCCTACATCTGATCTTGATTCCTATCTTGCCTCGACTCTGATCTGTTTTTTGAAAAAGCTGGCAACAGAGAAGTCTAAGATGATAATACTGACAATTCATCAGCCGTCTGAACAAATTGTTAAGCAATTTGACAACATTCTTTTCATGGTCAAGGGATGTGCTGTGTACAGCGGAGCATTTAACCAATTAGATAAGCTCCTACAGACAAACGGTATTGTTAGACCGGCTGACTGGACCACTTCAGATTTCTTGTTTGAGGCTTTCTATAATAGCTCGACATTTAAGGCCATTAGCGATCAGAAAGACAATATTTCAATTTTCCTTGAGAAGATTTTTGCTAAGTCAGATGAACTTGTCGATTCTTGCAATGCCTCAAACAAAAGTTCAAAGTTTGTGAGCTGGGCATTTGACCTTCCCCAAATCAGTATTCTGTTGAAAAAATCTTTGCGACAAGTTTTTTCTAGAAAGATGTTTTATTATAGAATTGTAGTCTGTCTTATACTGCTGTTCTTGTTGCCATTCTTTCAAAGGGAGTTCTTCCAGAGTCCTTCACAAGATGCTTTCAAGTCGATTGCCGAGAATTTAACTGCATCTGGCAATCAAAACACATCAGCTATTACTGATATTATTAATGTATCAGGCACCGATAATGCCGTTTTCAAGGCTCTTTCCCATATCTACACGTTTATACAAAACCATTCTGTATCCATCATAATGGTTGGCTGCAATTTGTACTCGATATTAATGACATCTGAAGTCTTCGCTTCTATCGTTTTAGATGAAAAAGAGATGCTTTTGGGACACTTCAAGCCTAGCTCCTACATTATCTCCGCTTTTGCAACTGAATACATCGTCTACCTCTGCACAGGCATTCTGATTTATGCTGGACTGTTGATTATTGGCATAGGAAGTCGCTTATATGCACTTTCTATTTTAAGAATCATTATGTCACACGTGCTTTTCTCATTTACGATTGTTCTCGTAAATGTTCTTGGATTTGCTTCTGGCTTGCCGCTCACGATTAGAGAGATGGTTAAACTAATGATATTATATACTCCTATCATGCTTTATATGGGATTCCCAGCCGTCGTTGAGTTTGTTAGTGAGATTAGTAGCATCTTGGCAATGCCATTAAGAATACTGTTCGCCATTGTTGACTTCATGTTCCCATCGATCCTGGTCTTTACATACACAAACCAAATCATCCAATCAAAGTTTAGCAAAGAATTTGAGGATGTCTTGAAGGACGTTAGTGATGATAGTGCGAAGGCAACATTGAGCTTTATTTCGGAATTCTTCAGCAAAAGTGTTTCATATCTTGCCAAAGGCACTTATGGAATATTCCCTGAGCAAATTGGTGTACTTCCAGTACTGATTGCATCTTTAGTGGTCATTCCACTGGCCACACTCGCCATTTTTACCTATAAGTTTTCGCCAAGAGTTTCTCTCAATCCTTAATTAAACTTAGGTACTCAATGTTTGTTTTCTTATAGCAATCTTGCTTACATCTATATTTTTATAAAGCCGCTACAGACGGATTTCTGAACGTTTTATCTTCAGAATCTTCCGCCTGTCTTGGAACATAAAAACAACATGGATAGTATCCCAAACTTCACCAATTTATTCATCAGTCTACTTTGAAACATATGTCGGTCCATCTTCGAACTATTATCTAGGCTGTCCATTTTATGGTACTCATGTCTATGCCACTTTTTGCCATTTCATATAGCGGGGACATCTCCCTAAGTGCTTTTACAGAGTGTGATGTTTGTTCAGCCAGCTTATCTACATCTTCTTCCATTGTGAATCTTCCTATTCCAAATCTAATAGAAGAATGGGCCAGGTCCTCAGATGTTCCCAGCGCTCGAAGGACATACGAAGGCTCTAATGAGGCAGATGTGCATGCACTACCACTGCTCAGGGCATAGTTCTTTAACTTCATTAAAAGCCCCTCGCCCTCAACATACGGAAACGATATGTTTAGACATCCAGCTATGGTTTTTACACCATTTTTAACTATATCGCCACCGAGACTCTCTTTGATCTTTGTATAGAGCCTATCTGCCAGCCTAGATACATGACTACAGTCCTCTTCCATCTCCTCCTTGGCAATTTTTGCTGCTGCTCCAAGCCCAACTGCCAGAAATGTGGGCGTTGTTCCACTTCGTAATCCCTTCTCCTGCGAGCCTCCATGTATCAGCGGCAATATTCTAATCTTCGGTCTTCTCCTCACATACAAGGCACCAATACCCTTTGGTCCGTATATCTTATGCCCCGAAATGCTCATCATTCCGATATTGCACTTCTTTACATCGAGTGGGGTCTTGCCGTAGGCCTGTGCTGCATCCGTATGGAATACTATGCCGTGCTCCTTGCATATCTTTCCTATCTCCTCTATTGGATTCACAACGCCTATCTCATTGTTAACTGTCATTATTGATATAAGCTTGGTCTTGGGCCTTATGGCGGCCTTGAGCTTTTCAAGATCAATAGATCCGTTTTTTTCAACAGGAAGGTACGTCACCTCTACGCCCTTTTCCTCTAAGTATCTGCATGTTTCCAAGACTGCCTTGTGCTCTATCTGTGAGGTTATTATGTGAAGGTCATAATTGTTGTACTCAGAAAACCTTTGAGTGCAAGATTAATGGACTCGGTGGCTCCGCTTGTAAATATAATCTCTTTTGGGGTCTGCATTTACCAAATCTGCCACTTGTTTTCTGCTATTTTCTGTTGCTTTTTCAGCTTCCCAGCCAAATGAATGCGAACGGCTGTGGGGATTGCCATAAAAAGACGTAAGATATGGCAACATCGCATCGAGTACTCTTGGATCCACCGGTGTTGTGGCCTGAAAGTCAAAATATCTTCTTGTTGGCACGTCCTTCGATATTGTGCTTAGTGTTGTATCTTTCCCTGTGCTTTCACTTCTGGTTGGAATCATTAGGGATAAATTTTTAAAAGATTTGTAGACAACATGGCAAAATCATATTAGTAAATATCTAAAAGGAACTTAGTAATAGATCAAGCAAAAACTGAAACATGATGTGAAGAGTTTAAATGTTTGAGCGAGCAGCAAGTTTGGTCAAAAATATAATAAGCTATTTTCTATATTGCTGGTTGATAGTGCAAGTGTTGGGCTGAGCACATCGGCTAAGAAATGCAAAGCAAATATCTTTGTTTTTGCAATGCATCTGTCTATTTCTTAACGTAGCTTGGCTTCCGAAATGTATAATTTTATCGTATTTATCCAGCCAAGATTAAAATACAAGGCCAAATATGAAAAGATATTGTATTCCATAGTATTCTGCTGGAAAACTAATACGCCTTTGTTTTGTAGCTTAAAGTTCGTTATCATGATTGCCAGTTGACATATGCTTTTTACTATTCTCGGTCTATTATGCCAGTCTCTTTTTAGTTTTAAAGGAGAGCTTTGAATTTGCAAATTCTGCAGCCCCCTGAGAGAATGACACAACTCCTAATGAGCTTAGCCAATAGCTACATAACCAGCAAAATATACAATCTTTTTGGATTTTCTGGTGGCCGGCAAGAAGATCCAAAGCCTCTGGAACTCTTCTCAACGGATATTGACACCGAACTTTTCGAAGGAAAGTACTTTGCACAGTACAAAACAGAGCCGTTCTACGAGCCCTATGTGTTGAGCTATTTCAAAGACTTCAACATGATGGGTTTGCATTTCCAAAAAGTGGCCGAAAAGCTTCCCAATGCCGATCGTAAATACGATCCAAATGTGTTAATCAATGAATACGAAAAGCATTACAACAGATTTAAATCCGATAGACCACCAAAATATGCCAGCCCATTGTCATTTAACTCATTCAATAAGACGAGCCTAGAAGCATTAGGGCTGCTAAAGGACAGAGCAGAGAAGTCAGTACATCCAAACTCAAAATACTTGGCATGTATTATAAAGTCCTTTGAGACTTTTCTTCGGAAAATTGACAAGAAGAATACAGATAAGTCTTGGATGCCAGTTTCCAAGTTGTCCTTTGACCTGGTTAACTATCTGTACTTTGTTCAGGAAAAGTATGGATTTAGTACTGTGCCGCAAATAATAAAAATACTGGAAATAATGTCAGCTGTCGAAGTTAATTCTCAGTCCATGCTTATGAAAAAATCGTTGGAGCACGAAAAGATGAATTTTGATAACAGGGCTGATTTTGATGTGTATTTCCAAGCTGCATTGGCAATTGAAAAAATATCAACAAATTTAATGAGGGATTTGGAGTCGACATTCTCTAATCGGTATGCAAATGACCTTCCATTAGTGCATATTTGCAATAGATTTCAGTGCTTGATGTTCATACTATACATGGCTGCTGATTTGCCACACAGCATAGAGCAGTCTACTGAAATTAAGATCAGAAACACGTTTCTGGCCAACCTAACAGGCTCGTTTATTCATGTGTTACTGAGCTACTTTGACCTGAAGCACTCAATGGTCAGCATGATCTACTACATTACTATGGCTCATTCCAAAAATCTTGAATTGCTACAGGCAGCATATAGTGCACTTGGCCTTGCAACAAAAGCTCTTCAATCTAGCATTTTCGCAGCCACAAATCACCATGGCTTTGACGAGACAGAATTGATATATCCTGGCGATGTCTACGGCCTGGTTAAGGAACACTTCTACAATCCGATAATAGAATATATGTGCACACTTTTCTTACAGATTACTACTGACCGTCGGCCTTTCAGTGAAAACTTGGCTTTGGTTTCTGATTTGTCAAGAGTTTTCTCCACACTTTTGGGTCGAAAGACTGAACAGACAAATTTTATGACAGATTGGTGGATTTTGCAGTCAAAAACTTTGAGCAGCCTCTTCCCAAGGACAAGCCAATATTCGAGCATTTTGTTGAATCATATGTCACAAGCCTTATGCAAGATCTTGAAAATAATACCCCTCGTTTGAGAAGTGTTTTTTCCGCTTCAAAATTTTCAGACGAATACGTAAGAGTTTTCGAACCTGATGAGCTGTTTTACAAGATTGATCTAGGCAAAATTTTTTCACATGCAAAAGAAGAAAAGACGGGCTCTAACGACGAGTTTTTGAAGAAGAGGCAGCAGCAAATTCATTCGAATATTAGACGCTTAAAGATTTGCAATACATTATTCATGTCTTCAGCTGTTGTGTTAGTGGTGATAGACTCGCTTGCTCTTTATACGCTGTATTTAAAAAGAAGCAGAAATCAAGGCGTAACTAGCATGTAGAAATAATTTATAAGCTCTATGCATTGTCTGTTCGAGCATCTTCAATTAGAATTAATAAATTGTTATGATTTTATTTGCAATACTAAGAAGTCTGATGGTAGCATGCACAATACCGAAAGCGCATGTGCGTATACACAGCATTGGCATGCTATGCTTGGAGTGTGAAAAGTAAATTTGATGCATATGAATCCTTTTTTATTTAATTAACTAAAATTAAAAACAATGCAACCTCCTTTCAGCTATTTTGTAGAAAGCGCAAAGTCTACTTAGCAATCACATTGCGTAACATAGTAGCAGTTGTACTCAAAGTACCGGGGGTCCATTTCTAGATCCCTGATAACATCATCAAGAAGAACATGTCTTGAAAAACTACCAAGCCTAGCGATAGATTTTCTAATATTAACTATATGAATGTGCAGTCTGAAATATGAGGGCCTGTAGTGAAAATACAGACACAGGTGTTCTCTGTGAACTCCTAACTGATCACAAAGGACATAGATATTCTCTCTTGCATTTTTCAGCAAGCCCACATGCGACCCATTCAGGTTTCGTATTGATCTCAAGGTGCAATCTTTAAATATCATTAGTAAATACATCTGATCTACTGACATCTGGTCCCACTTGTAGTCTGCAATTACCAAGTAGTGGTCATTTTCAAAATACACTTTCTCTTTTACATCTTTATTGGAAAACAATGTTATCCAACCAGCTCGTTCTGAGAAAGTCGTCGCTTTTCAGATATTCCTCAAAGGTTTCAACACTATACCTGTATTTTCTGATATACTTTTGAATGTGCTTATCGGTTGCTGGATAAATGAGTCTAGGAGAGAACATGACTGGAACTAGCAGTTTCTTGGGGGTGTTTGCATCGCATTGCACCAGCATTTCCTTATAAAACCTATTTAGATCGATGGATGGCTGGGGCAGTGTATAAACAGCTCTGTGCGCATCGATGCTACCAATGAAAACGGTCGAATCTTCAGTAAAAACGACACTGGTGGGTATGAACTTGAATATTCCTTCCATGATGGGTCCCATGTAAAAAATTACAAATGACGACCCATCTAAAGCAGAGGTAGTTGCCAGGAACATGGCTGTCTCCTGACCATACAAAGACCTGGCGGGGATGGCATCAGACCTATCATCTAAAAAGCCGATACAAAAATACAGGTTATACTCACAATTGGATTTCCTTGCAAAAATTACCTAAAAGAGCATATGCCAGCCTATTTTAATTTAATCCGACTCATTTAAATTATCCAAATCTAATCCCTTTACATGTGTATTTGTAATTGTTATTCTTCTTTTGTTTTTCTTTTGCTTGGTCTGCTTAGTGGCTTTTTGTTTCTTAAGTACACACGTTTCGGAACCTTTCAATCCGCCCTCGCTCAGCTCTTGTGTAATGTCATGGAGATTGGGCACCTTTACAGACGCCCAAAGATCTTTTATTTCCTTTTTTAATGTTGGAAGAGGCTCTTCGTTGAAAAAAACTATCTCGGAATCGTCTATGTCTTTCAAAATAATGATTTTGTCCTGCTGGACTAGCTTGTTGATAAATGGACTGATGTCAATTGGAGACTCCAAAAGCTTGTTCATCTCTATTCCTTCTTTTCCATTTACTTTTTTGAGGATGCTTACGAGATCCTCCATGCATCTTACTACATAGCTTGGAAGAAACTGAATAGACTCATGTGTAATGGCAACCTTTGGATTAATTTTCAAAGCTCGCACAAGTTGAACATTATTCAGCACATTGATGCCTGTCTTTTCTTCTATTTCGCTATATGACAGTGCCCTATCGTGTTTTTTGAGAAAATCGAGAATCCTGTGGATAAAGGTGTTTACGTGTTTTGAATTGTCTGCATTTGGCATGGGTTTTCAAAAAAACGTATTGAAGTAGCATACATCAATACAGGCGGTGCTGAAGGTGCCATGAACATCTAGTATGGACTGTGCATGGCCCGTTAAAATAAAATTGGCCTTAATAATTTATTCCACTATGTTCTCATTCTTTTTTTCAGCATGCTCAAATTCGAAAAACTTGTCCTTTTCGTGTTCATTAAATGCTACCTTGAAGCTTCTACAGTCAGTAAACACCATGTCTGTCAGGTTTTCTAGTACTAAATAAATCGATACAACTCTCAGAAAATTAGAAATGTCATTAATAAACATCAGCGCTTTTGATCTTTCCCTTGTGATAACCACAAGATAAAGCATTTTGGAAAGACATTCCAACGACAATGATACAGCTAGCCTGGACAAGAGAACCTTAAAGACTGAAAGGAGATACTGAACCATTGTTTTATCCGTCATCAAACATGTCTCTATCTCCTTCGCTATCTTCTTTATAAGCCGTATGAGATTTACAAAAATTAATATTAAAACAATGTCCTCGCTAATCAAAAACGCCTCAATCAGAAACGAATAAAATGAGGTGTTTCTGTATAGTCGAGACATCATTACCATTACTGGTAGGTATCTTATGTAGGCATAGATGAATGCGCTAAGTTTCATGACCCTCTGGTCGGTGATCGAATGCATCTTGAAGTTTTCAAAGGATTCCAGAATTACTGCCAGGGAATGACAGAGAACGGAATGGATGGTGTTTTCACCAACATATTGCAGTGTTTTGAGTTTACTGGTGGCAGGGACATTCTCGAAATCAATGATTTTTCGATTGTAGAGTGTTCTTAGGAGTTGTAGCTGATAGAAAACCATGAAAATTAATGAAAACATGAGATAGAACTGCGATAATCGTTGCGAACGAGGCGCGCACGATGAATAAATTGCATTTCTGACAAATAAGAATGCTTGTATGAGCAGTGCAAAAAGATAGCAGATATTTACAAAGGAGTCTAAGAATATTTTCATTGAGACAATGCAGCTTAGGATGTAAATATGTGTTTGAGGATCAGACGAAACAAGATAAACAAAAACATACTGGACTTTCTGTTATATTTATGTTTATGGAGCACCACAGACCCGTGAATCTTAATAATTTTTACAATTCGAGATCCCCAAATGAGAAATATAGACTCTGATTTCCTTTTGAACAACAAAAGTCTACTTGACCACAAGAAATGTGTATTTGTGGTAGGAGCGGGGATTTCCGTGGCTAGTGGAATTCCAGACTTCAGATCTCCAACTGGAATCTTCGCATCGCTCAGGCAGCAGCTAAGAATAAATGGCAGACAGCTTTTCACATACAACTTTGGAATAAAAGAGGGAAGCAGACAGATATATCTCAAGTATATTAGTTCTCTCAAAAGACTGTGCGACAGTTCCCATCCAAACGTGACACACCACTTTCTAGCAAATTTCCCCAAATCTCGAACATATACACAAAACATTGATGGACTGGAAGAGAGTGCAGGAATGGCATTTACAAAGAAGGATGGTACAAAGGGTGTTTATTTGCATGGAAACTTGTCTTTTCTAGTTTGTCAGTACTGTGGATTCAGGAAAAAGTTTAACGAGGCTGATATGAAAAGCTTTGAGAATGGAGATGAAATAGCATGCAGCGAATGCAGCGAGCGGCGGACAAATTGTATGAAGAATGGGCAACGAAAACGCCCTGTTGGGGTACTGCATCCGGGAATTATTCATTATCAGCAGATTCACCCTGATGGTGCGTTTATAAGCAAAATATGCGAGAAGGACATGGACTGTGATCTTTTGATAGTTATAGGGACGAGCCTGGCAGTTGAAGGAGTTAAAAAACTTGTAAAAATGTTCTGCAAAAACCAAGCCAGTGAGGGAAAAAGAATACTAGTCAATCTGACAAAGCCCAGTAAGGAATGGGGCGATTATTTTGACTATTTCTACGAAGGCGACTGTGCAGAATTTGCTAGGACCGTTGGGTCATTTGTAAAGATGCCCAAATTTGTAGATAAAATTCAGAAAAAGGACATTTCTAAAGACAAATGTGATCTTATCCCAAATCGACCAGCTGTCGAGCAGGCTATTAAACCTGATAACAATGACTGTGTTACAAACCAACAATCATCTAAGATTGTTTCTGATGATAGCTGCATTGATACTCAGCTTAGGAGAATGTCTATCGCAAATGATGATGCAGCTCCAAATACGAATGGCAAGTCTAGCCTTAAATCTCTTGAATCAAAGTTAGAAGTATTATCCCAAACATTTAGTGACGAGGAAGCAATATGCCAGCCTGTTTTGGATGAGCTACTTGAAAATGCAGCAGAAGCAGAAGTTCATGCTTCGTTTTGCACAGACTTACAGGACGAGATCGAAAATATTGTGGCTGAACATGCAAGTGAAGAAAAACCCATGACACCTAAGAAAAAGAAGTCTAGAAAAAATAGGAGAAAGTAAAAGTGCTTGTCAACACAAAAACCTTCAGTTGGGATTCATTGCAATACTCCATTAGGCATTTCTTTTAAATAAATGAACCTCTCTTAAGCGTGCTATCTGTGTTTGGAAAATTGGCTTGGTAGATCATAGCTTTGTTATCCTGCTTTACATTAATGCAAAAAAGCCCCACGCAATAGAGCAATACTGTTTTAAGCAAAAATACACAATATGGCAAATGTAAATCGTTCAAATAAACAATAAGTCCTACTAAGAGAATGTCATTTATTCTTCAATGTCATCTTCATCTGTATCAGATTTAGTTGCCATCCAATACATTACCAGTAGTAAAATATCAACGACGAAGAATAAGCCTAGAGCACCCAACGCATAATTCTTCTGTGTGTTGATTGTAGCGTTCTCATTGAGGATGGGCGACATCAATTTTAGTACTTCCTGCACTTTGCCTGCAAATGATGAAATGCCCTGATTTTTTGATCCAGCTTTCAGGTATGCATACCTTATTACTACATCCTCCCGTGTAATATCTT